CAGTTTTAACCAAAAAGAGTTTGAGCGACAACAAACCCCATAGAAGGGTATATAAACAAACAAAAACGCAAATGCAACGGAAGTTTGATGGAATATATGTGTGTGAGCAATCGAGAACTATAAAGAACAAAAAAAAAAGGTGGGCAGGGGAAGAGGAAATAACAAAATACACTGTAATTAACTGGCGGCTTTTTGCAAAGAACGGGAGAGGGGGATGCATCATTTATTCCGCATGAATTTGCATTTGCATTGGCCAGTTTCAAAGGCAATGCAGGGTCAAAAACTGGACGAAAGCGATTCGAAATGCATTCAGAAATCCGAAATGCAGTTGCACAATGCCCGATGATTAGGGGTTGATTCTGATGCAGTCGAGAGGATGCAACTCTGGCAGAGTGATAAATATTTTGCGCCTGGGATGACAGCCCATAAACATTGCGATTACGAGTATTGACAATGTTCAATCAGGACCACACGGGGGCATCCTTTGAGTGGCTCTACTGTACTACAAGTCACATTGCGTACAAGTGACAGCTGCCGATCCGCTGTAAGCCCTGATGATTACATTGTTTTTGACACAGACCACCACCCCTTCTTCATTCCATCGTGATTGATGACTGATGACAGGGCCGAGATGTACGAGCTGTCATGTCCAGTTTGTCAGCCACGCAAATATGTTTTCCAACACTACCACCTCGGATCGGTAACTCCACAAAGGGGTTACAAATTCCCGAAAGTCAAAAGCGGGGCGCGATTCAACAGCTTAGCGAAATTTACATACTTGCTCAGCATAATGTGCACCCTTACCATAGGTATTGGGTTTCGCTTTCTTCTGTGCATAATGCGTTTTCACGGCGGGACACCCCGAAAAAAACGATTTGAATTTTTACCAAAGTGGGCGTTGTAATGTTGACACTGTAATTTACGCATTTCACCTTTTCTTTAAAGCATTTGCATACGGCTTAAATGCCAAAGGGCTTAACAAAGGTAATTCGATATGGGAAACATTTTTGAACCCATGAGGTACAGTTGTGTTTTGTTAGACTTAAGCAGAATTATGTATTGCAGTCCTAGTGACACAATTAGTTGTTGCATCTACCACTTCCCACGTCAATTCTTCACAATTTACCCGTAACAAATTGCCACTCGAAGCTGCACACCCGCAATTCTCTTTGAACTTCGACTTGTCTTCATTAGCCGAAGAACTCATTCAGCTGCCTTTCGCTCAAGTGTCGATGCCAGATAAGGCCAGCATTAATTTTCTTTGTCATGGAGCCAATTTCTCAGAGTACCCTGCAATTATAATTAAAACTTTTTGAACTACCCGCGGCAAGCGAACGTTAACAGACAGCAACAACTGCCGGCAAATTGCGCTCTGTTGAAGTTTCTCTTTTGCCGGCCGCCTTGCCCAAGCCTCTTTAGCTCAGTGGCAGAGCACTGGTCTTGTAAACCAGGGGTCGTGAGTTCAATCCTCACAGGAGGCAGCTCTTCGTTTATTTTTTTATTAAATTAATGATGTTTATTTTTTTTTATTTTATTCCTGTAAGGGTTGATATTAATATTTACGTTAATATTAACATTTTGCCTTAGAGAAGAGATTTCTGTGAACCTGTGCTAGAAAAAATTAAAATTTTTTTAATTAACATATGTGGGATATTAAAATGCCATTATATTTGGGGGTGTCGTACGAATCTTATTGAAACTAATTCGGTTGAAATCTACATATGTTCAAATTTTAACCGATAAGCACTTAAAAAAATGTATAATCACTACAAATATTTTCTGTATCCGGAACAAGCTTTGGGTTTCTTAGAACTTAGAGCAAGACTCATTTAAGATTGTTGTGCTTTTTTCTAGGGAATTTACTATTTATCATTTCATGGTGTGTCAATTTGGTATTTATTAACAATGAAATTAAATGTCTCAAGATTTTAAATAAATTTGCCACTAATTAAGGTCAGACGTATGTTATGTCTATTTAATTTGACATGGAGCTATTAATTGTTTTAATGTTATTTACAATTTTATCCACCGCTTTAAACACCACAGTGAGATTTTGAAATATTTTAACTATTATAAAAAATAAAAACAAAATGAAAGAGTACCCCGAAAAACTAATTTTGAAGATGCAGACCTCCCCCAAATCTGCCTCCTGTGAGGATTGAACTCACGACCCCTGGTTTACAAGACCAGTGCTCTACCACTGAGCTAAAGAGGCGAACAACCCGCCGCTTCCAAAAATCTCACTTCTCCCTCCCCAATTTTCTTTCCAATTTTGTTGCCAAATTTAGCGTATTTTTTAATTAATCGTAAATGCTTTTCCGTGTTTGGTAAATATAACTCAATTCAACAAGCTTGTGTCGGCTTTTTTGTTAGTAAACAAATGCAGAACGCTCTCACGAGATCCCCCTCTTTCTCTCTGAACTTTCTCTTTATCTCTGTGGCGCATCTCTTCTTCTAAAAATAAAATCCCAAAAAAGCTGTTTTTATACCACACGCTGTCGTCGAATTTTCCCGATATACCCATTCAGTTCATCTGCAGTTTTCTAGCTGAGAGTACAGAAAAAATTAGATAAATTCTTTAAGCTTGCATAATTTTGAGGTGAAAAGTGTAGATAAAATGAAAACTCCACTTAGCCAGAAGACGGGCTTCTTTGCCGAATACTATTTGAAGCTCAAGGATCAGTCGGGTTCCAGTTGCGAGTCGGACATCGCCAAGTTGTCAACGTGCAAGAGCGATGAGGAGCGCGTGGCCTATGTGGAAAAGTTGCCCTGGGTGCAGGCGGGGGATGCCAACCTGGTGGTGAACCAGGAGTTCGCCGGCAAGAATCCCACTTTGGCGGCGGAGATCAAGGAGCGGGCCACCTCCGCCTTTAAGGCCAAGAAATGGCTGGAGGCCATGATGCTGTACACCAGGAGCTACGTGGCTCTGCCCAGTGAAAATGGTGAGTGGTAGCCAAACTAATTTACTTTATTCTAAATCTTTTATTTAATCTTTAGTGGCAGAGATACGCATTGTGTTGGCCAATCGATCGGCCACTTTGTACCACATGCAGAAATATCAGTAAGTCATTTTATAAGTTCAAGGAGTGATCTTTTAAGCAGTTTTGTTTAAAGTCCTATATATTTACTTAAATATATTTATAACTTCCAGAGAAAGCCTGATTGATATTAGGAGAGCCTTAGATCTGGGGTATCCCAAGGACTTGATCTATAAGCTGTACGAACGACAGGCTCGATGCTACATGGCCCTTAAAGACTATCCACATACGATTGAGGCATTCAAGTGAGTCTTATCTTAAAGTTGTCAAAGTTATCCCATAACTATACCAATAAAATCGCCCAAAGAAAGTGCATCACCACCATGGATGACTCCACCCTGACCTCTGATAAGCGCGCCAAGCTGAATCTGGATGCCATGACCATGATCAAGATGCTGAGCCATGATCCAAGGACCGCCAAACAGGAGGCAAAACAGCAGAAGCAGAAGATAGCTTTGGATCAGGCCCATCCAGTTAAGTTGGAGAACGAAATTGTGAGTCCTCTGGTGAGGATCGATCGCAACCGACAGGAGGGTCGTTTTGCCAGAGCCTCTGCAGACATTAAGCCCGGTGAAGAGCTTTTGGTGGAGCGACCTTTTGTCTCCGTCTTGCTGGAGAAGTTTGCCAAAAGCCACTGCGAGAACTGCTTTGTGAGGTAATATAAATATGTGAAATATACCTTGCAAGATCTTGTATTGATTTCTATTCTCCCCAAGGACTGTGGTGCCCGTAGCCTGTCCTCGATGCGCCGATGTCCTCTATTGCTCGGAGCAATGTCGCGAAGAGGCCTCCAAGAAGTATCATAAGTACGAGTGTGGCATCGTACCCATTCTCTGGCGATCGGGTGCCTCCATTAACAATCACATTGCTTTGAGGATCATTGCCAGCAAACCGTTGGATTACTTCCTGAATATAAAGCCGTCTATTGATGAGGAACTCACCCCAGAGCAGCTCATCAGGTGGGTTTTTGATTATGTTCATAAGCACTTAATTGAATTTAAACCCCTTTCAGCCTGCCCAAGGACGACTTCCGAAGAGTGGCTCAATTGGAGAGACATCAGGGTGAACGCCAGCCCTCCAACTTCTTCCAGCACGTCCTGATGGCCCGTTTCTTGACCCAATGCCTCCGGGCAGGAGGTTACTTTGGATCGGAGCCCAAGCCAGATCAGGTGGCCATTATTTGCTCCCTGGTGCTGCGCAGTCTGCAGTTCATCCAGTTTAATACCCACGAGGTGGCGGAGCTCCATAAATTCAGCTCGTCCGGCCGGGAGAAGTCCATCTTCATTGGTGGAGCCATCTATCCCACCTTGGCCCTGTTCAACCACTCTTGTGATCCTGGCGTGGTGCGATATTTCCGCGGCACCACCATTCATATTAACAGTGTCCGACCCATCGAGGCTGGACTTCCGATCAATGAGAACTATGGACCAATGTACACCCAGGATGAGCGATCGGATCGCCAGGCGCGTTTGAAGGAGCTCTACTGGTTCGAGTGCTCCTGCGATGCCTGCATCGACAATTGGCCCAGGTTCGATGATCTGCCCCGCGATGTGATCCGATTCCGTTGCGATGCCCCGAATAATTGTTCGGCGGTGATTGAGGTGCCACCCAGTTGCAACGACTTCATGGTCAAGTGCGTGACCTGTGGCGAGATCACCAACATCCTGAAAGGTCTAAAGGTCATGCAGGACACCGAGATGATGACGCGCACAGCCAAGAGGCTGTACGAAACAGGGGAATACTCAAAGGCCCTTGCAAAGTTCATTGATCTTATCAGGATTATGTATGAAGTGCTGGCCCCTCCTTTTCCCGATTTCTGCGAGAGTCAGCAGCATCTCAAGGACTGCTTCCTTAACTTAGGCAATGTCTACACTCTGGATTAGAGGGGAATCTTTCAAAATTAATATAAATGTTTTGCGACTTTTGGTCTTTTGTTTGAGCAAAGATTGAAATAAAATAATATGGTGTTTTTAACGTTTTAATTTCAATCTGCCTCTAATAACACGTTAAATCTTCTGCTTAGTACTGTCTATATTATACTCTGAGTTTTATACAGGAACATAATCTTTGAACATGCAAGGCCTCTGGTGAATCGGATTGCATTCGCCGACACAGTTGTCGTCGTCGTAGCAGCAGCGATAACAGCTCGTCGTCTTTTGCCACTTCCCTTTTGGGAATTAAAAATCAATGAAATAGAGCGTGGACTACTCAGTAAAATTTCATTGCACTTACCATTACTTGTTTTTGTATTTTTCTGTTGGTCTTTCAGATAACACTTTTTTGGGGGCTTCTGTTCTGGTTGGGTTGATAAGGTGGTGGAGGATTCTGTTGTGAAGACTTCGAATGCGGAAGCTTCTGTTGTGGTGTCTTCTGCTGAGTTGGCTTTTGTTGTGGAGGATTCTGTTGTGGGTACTTCTGTTGAGGATACTTCTGTTGTGGATACTTCTGTTGTGGATACTTCTGTTGTGGATACTTCTGTTGTGGATACTTCTGTTGTGGAGTCTTCTGTTGTGGAGTCTTCTGTTGTGGAGTCTTTTGTTGTGGACGCTTCTGTTGTGGAGTCTTCTGTTGTGGAGTCTTCTGTTGTGGAGTCTTCTGTTGTGGAGTCTTCTGTTGTGGAGTCTTCTGTTGTGGAGTCTTCTGTTGTGGATTCTTCTGTTGTGGAGTCTTCTGTTGTGGAGTCTTCTGTTGTGGAGTCTTCTGTTGTGGAGTCTTTTGTTGTGGAGTCTTCTGTTGTGGAGTCTTCTGTTGTGGAGTCTTCTGTTGTGGAGTCTTCTGTTGTGGAGTCTTCTGTTGTGCAGTCTTCTGTTGTGGAGTCTTCTGTTGTGGAGACTTCTATGGTGGAGTCTTCTGTGGTGGAGTCTTCTGTGGTGGAGTATTCTGTGGTGGAGTCTTCTGTTGTGGAGTCTTCTGTTGTGGAGCCTTCTGTAGTGTAAAATTCTGTTGTGGGGGCTTCTGTTGTGGTGGCTTCTGTTGTGTAGATTTCTGTTGTGGAGGCTTCTGCTGTGGGGACTTCTGTTGTGAAGGCTTCTGTTGTAGGGGCTTCGGTTGTGGAGACTTTTGTTGTCATTGAAGTGGACCTGGGTGTTGTGGAAGTCGTTGTTGAAGAAGTTGTGTTTGTTAAATCGTCATAGTTAACAGGTTCGTCATAGTCAACAGGTTCGTCATAAGGCACAGAATCCACTGAAGGCGGTATATCTTGTGGCCGGGCCCCAGCTACCGTAAAACACAAAAAAATTAAAAATATTTTAGCAAGCAGCTTCATTTTTAACGAACTGTGTTGACTTGAGATGATTTCAACAATTACTGAAACGGATTGCTTGAATTGCGCTTAAGCTTTACAGCTGCACATATAGATTTCAGCTCCCAAACATGAGCTGATTAAATTCTTCTGAAATAAACATGAGTTCTCTAAAATTCATGCTGTTTCCCAGTACATACTCGAGCAATTTTTTAATTTTTCGAGTTTAAAAATATATATATTCCTAATCTGCATTAGCAGTGGAGCCGATGTAGTCATTTCCATCCGTACATATATAAGTTTTAAAACTATTTAGCAAAATACCCAAAATATTATTTTTCTACTTTATTATCATGTTTTTATAGCTGGGTTTTTGTTCTTTTATTTTAAATTTTAAATTATATGAAACCCCGGAAAAAATGTACACGTTTTGAATAGTACTTAACGTTTAGATCTGCTTTTTCAGGGTGACTATCATTTTTTGCGCCCTCTATTGTAAATTGTATCGAGGTTGGTGTCATGGCTTATCATACTATAAAAATAATTTGATATGGAATCAGATGACTTAGTTTCTTTATTCCTGTGTAAATAAGGCAGCTATTTTGTATAGCCATTAAAACGAGGACGTCACCTCTATTCTGAAAGATTTAAAACTAAACAATTTTGTTTAACTTTTATTGTAACTAAATTTTTAATATAACCGTTTAAAGGGCATGTGAGGTAGGTTTTTACCATCGTCTATAATCATACCACGAACAACGCCCCTGGTGAAGCTTACTGCATCCGGCAAAACCACTGTTCTCGTAGTAGCAGCAGCGATAACAGATCGTCGTCATTCGCCAGCCTTCTCCTGCAAATTGAAGGACAAACAAAGGAATGATTCATAAACATTTCACACTTTCTCACTGAACGTACCATAACAAACCATTCTGTACTCGTATTCGTTTTTGAGATAACACTTTTCTACCAAATCGTTCCACATCCAAGGGTTCTTGGTAGAGTAAGTGGGTCGCCTTGAAGTTGTAGGTCGCATAACGGGAGGTGTGAAGGTCGGAGTTGGAATGGGTTGTGTTGATGAAGGAGTAGTGTTCTCTGCTGTTGAACTTGTGGTTGATTCCGTTGATGTGGTTGTGGTTGATTCGGTTGTTGTGGTTGTGGTGGAATCTGTTGTTGATGTTGTAGTGGGTTCTGTTGTTGAAGTTGTGGTTGATTCCGTTGTTGAAGTTGTGGTGGGTTCTGTTGTTGAAGTTGTAGATGGTTCTGCTGTTGAAGTTGTAGTGGGTTCTGTTGTTGAAGTTGTGGTGGCTTCTGTTGTTGAAGTTGTGGTGCGCTCAGCTGATGAGGATTCTGTATTTAAAGTTGTGGAAGGTTCTGTGGATGAGCTTGGCTCTGTTGGTAAAATTGTGGAGGGCTCTGTTGTTAGAGCTGAAGGGGATTCTGTTTCTGAATCTGTCTGATACCAATCGTCTGGCGGAAAATCTATTGGAATTTCCGGCTTTGTATCCTGAGCACAAATTCCAGCCACCACAATAAGCAAAAAAACAATAAGAATTTCAACTGCGGGCTTCATTTTTAGCGAGCTGTGTTGATGTGAGCTGGTTGCATCGAAAACTGACTCCGATCACCGGTCCCGAGTAGCTCGAGCTTGGGCTCTGGCTATAGAGCTATAGTCATTAACACACTTATACCGACTCACACGCAAAACGTGAGGGCTGATAACAGCACGCCAACAGAGGTGAGTAATTACTAAAAAATAAGATGCTGGCACTTTAAAAATATTTGGTTGAGTAAACAACGGTGAGCAGGTACTTATAACAGTGAATACTGAAATTGATTATCTGTTGAAAGGCGATATTGTCAATTAATAAGTTCTTTTTAATTTGTAGAAATAAATAATGATCAGGAAAACCTAATACAGAGAAATGGAAAACGTATTAAGATGAGTACCACATATGCGAAAAATGTAATTCATCCAAGGTGGATTACTTTTTAAAGCTGTTTAAATTTATAAATACATTTGTAAAATAATTTGTTGTTATATAACATTTTATTTATTTCCAACATTTATATTAATATTTAAGTATATATATAAATATTAAACAGCAAATGTAAGCCTTTTTATAACTAACTAATGTTGGCCTTAAGGATCTTAAAAAGTATATTTGTAATACTTTTTGATGTTAATTTATTTATGTTTGTTTTGTTTTTATTACACTTGTTTCCAGTTAACGTGAACTTTCAACTGCCTCCGATCATACCACCCACATGGCCCATGGTGAAGCTTATTACATTTGATGATATGGCTGTCGTAATAGTAGCAGCAGCGATAACAGCTCGTCGTCGGTGGGTTTTGCCAGCCTACAAGTTTAAAAGCAAGCAAATCAAATGTGATTCACATATGGTCCCTTGCCCCAGTTAATATTTCCCACTTCCCCATAACACTTACAAGTACTGAACTCCAGCTGGTTTCTCAGAAAACACCTTTCCACCGGTTCCATCACTACCCAAGGCTTTTTAGAAGTGTAAGTGGGTTGCACGTGGGGAGGTCGGTAGGTCGGATTAATTGGTGCCCTGTGTGTTGATGAAGTTGTGGTGGATTTTGTCGTTGAAGTTGTGGTGGGTTCTGTTGTTGCAGTTGTGGTTGGTACTGTTGTTGAAGTTGTGGTGTGTTCTGTTGTCGAAGTTGTAATAGGATCAGTTATTGTAGATGTAGTGTGCTCCAATGTTGAAGTTGTAGTAGGATCAGTTGTTGTAGTCGTGGTGGATTCGGTTGTTGGCGTGGTTTGTTCCTCTGTTGACGTAGCTAACGTTGTTGCTACTCTTGTTGTAGTGGTTGGCATATAATCTACTGGAATCTCTGGAATCGTATCCTGAGCCCAAATTCCAGCTACCAAAAACCATATAAAAATTAATGAAATTTCAACAGCGGACTTCATTTCTGCCGAGCTGAGTTTACTTGGGTTGATTACAATTAATACTGAAACTGATCGCTTTTAAAAGCTTGCTCTTGTTTTGTAGAGCTTAAAGTCACTTATATCCACTTACTCGCAAGAGCTGTGGACTGATAACAAAACATAAGCAACTAGAGAGGACAAGTGCCTAAAATGTTTAAAAATAATATGCTTCTAAATAATATCTGGTTGAGTAAACAGAAGTGAACAGCATTTTAGGGAGCACACACACAAAAAAATGACTTATCAGAATTTGTGGCGAAATTGTCGTTTTGATTCGCTGAAATTACTTGCGGGTGGATGAACACGCATGCGCAACTTACCTTGTAACACTTTACTGTTTGATTTTAACGTTTTTATCATCGCAACGTAAATAAAGTGGGTAAGAGAAATGGAAGAGTCGATGACCCAGAAAATTTCGGTCAAGAGTAAAGTTACTTTGTGAAAACAATGATGCTTAAAGAAAATTTTAGCCCATTTTAAACCAGTCTTGAGCCTTATTTTAATAAATTAATTTTTTTAATAAGTTTTAATAATATTTGAGAGTGTGACGTACCTATTTGGCCGCCCTCGAGTACTTAAATATATTGCGATATTTTAAGCGTTTTTTCTAAAATCTATTGTTCTTATACCCTTGCATTGGGTATTATAATTCCAGTCATCAATTTGTAACGCAGTGAAGGAGACACTTCCGGCCTTTTTAATATTATCTATTCTTGTTCTATATTTATTGTTTTGGTAAATAGATATATGATTGTTGTGATATGTTATATATGAAAGGATATATCAAATTCGGATTGCCGAAGTTGGTTTTCTTTCTTATTTTTGATTAGACATTTTTGGCGTCATTGCCACCACCGTAAAATACAATATGGTTTGTGTCTTAGCTGGCTAACTGTAAGATACATTGTAAAATGTAGATACAAGAAAAGCTCAAATGCTCAGTTCGCGGTCAAGAAACGTCTGCTGTTCACCTTGCTTGTTTGACCATGATATTCTTTATTTTTTATTAGCCATCCAACTGTATCAAACTAATTAGCTATTAATTTATTCATAAATTTATTAATGCAATACAATAACAATTCAAAATATTTATAAATATCCGTATGAACTACAGAAGTAATGAACCGAACAAGAGATTTGGTGTATATTTGAAACTTTCAGATCCGTTTATTATCCTTTTAATGGCGTTATTGAGATTTTATCCTTAATCATAGCTGAAATGGAAAACAAAAAATTGTGTTTATAAGCTCCAAATGAATTGAAAACCTCTGAGGCCTTGTAAAAATGTTCAAAATACCTCAACATCCTAATTTATTTACATAGTGAAATGCACTTTTTCATGTTCCGAGTTATGTTTCCGTTAGCACGCAGTACATCATGACTAGTATGGAAAGGATACCAAATGCAAACCAAGCCATTACGGGGATTCTTAGGGCATCGATAGACCAAAATGACTCATTGTTTTGGAATGGTGTGAGGCCCCTTTCAAGCTGAAATTTATACATTAGCCTCCACACATAAGGAAATTCCCAAAAGGCGATTTTACCCACGCTTACGATTTAATATTAAAGCGATATCCATTGAGTTCGCTCCTCGCAAATCACAGAAAATTATTCCCAATTTTCCGGATTATTCAGTTTCCATAAGCAGCATAAGTGTAAACTTGTAAAATTAGTAAGTGTCACCAGATGATTGTAATGTGCGATCTCATTAAAATTTTAATTTTTTACTTGCCCTTTTATTAGTTTTTATCAATGCTTTTAAACTATTAGGCGATTAATGATAAATGATTTAAGCCCCAGGACAAACAGACAAAGACGTACAGTTGTATTTTCTTAATATTTTTATTACACATAGTCATAATACAATTCGTAGGTGCTCAACAAGTGGTGTTCAACTGAATAGGAAATAAACCTTATTTGCTGGTTCGGATTTCCATGGGAAAGTGCTTTCGAGTTACAATTTAGTTAAGCTTCAATACAGTTTTCCTTCGATTCGCGTAATGATGTTGTGCATATAATTTAGCTTAAAATTACTCAAATACAATATTGCATATTTTACGTGTTAGCTTCGCATTACAACTAAAACAAGACATTTGCGTGTTTTTTTTTATTTTTTAACAAATAAAAATGGTACAATTGTGTGAATTGTAAAGTTCTGGTTGATTGGTGGTGGAGCAAACCTAATCTAAGAGAAATTTCGGCAACGAATTCGATGTGACCCTGGCTGGATGGAAAGCGAATGGGTGGTGATGTGGATGGGAAGCAGGTGCGGACATTTACAAGAACATGGGTATTCCAGATATACTTTCTAGAAGTCGTACGAGTTGGCCTCATCGTCGCCCTTGCGTACCTTGAAGACGAATCGATAAATGAGTCCGGCCAGGAGGCCGCCGGCAATGGGACCCACCCAGTAAACCCAGTGGTAGGTCCAGTCGCCCTGGACAACGGCGGGTCCAAAGGATCGGGCGGGATTCATGCTGGCACCGCTCAGCTTAACCTGTAAATCGTGGATTTATAAAACTTTCAGTCAGATTATCTTCTAATAATCCATCAAAAACTTACTGCGCACAGATGACCTGCGGTGATGGCCAGGCCCACAGCCAGTGGCGCCGATCCCTTGATATCCAGACGACCTGCATCCGAAACCGCCTTCACCACAAACACCAGGATGAAGGTGATCAGCGCCTCGATCAGCACCGCCTGGGCAGCATCCAGGGAGGAATCAAAGGCGGATACTCCGAGCCCGGAGCCTGCCACTCCATTGAGGGCCACCTTGATCACTGCCGCTCCTGCGATGGCGCCCACACACTGCACGATGATGTAGAAGGCCGCCTTCAGGATGCTGATCTCGCCAACGATCAGGAAGCCAAGGGTCACAGCCGGATTGATGTGGCAGCCACTCAGGTGACCCAAGCCCTAAAAAGTATAGAAAAGATTTCGATTTTAATGGATAAAGTCAAAGAAAATTGATTGACTTCCAGTTTTGCACATTTAATATTAATATTTAAAAGATATTTAATTCAAAATATTTAGAATTCTCAGGATATTTAACAAATATTTATCTGCTAGTATGATTAACTTTGTAGTTCAACACATTTAAGGGAATTTAATATTTAAGCTTACTTAAAACCTTTAATCTAAGTTCAAGCACATTTAAGGGAATAAAATAATTAAACGAAATTTATGTCGCGAATATAACTAAATTTGTTTCATCCTTTTAAAGCTTTTAGACAGAAAAATAAATAAATTTTTGAAATATTCTAATAAATATTAGATTCTAAACGCATATGCATAACAATGTCCCTAAAAAATAAAAATATTCTTTTGAATTAATCTTATTTCTTAACTTTCAACAGATGTCTGTTAGTCAATATTTTCCATTAATATTTATAAGATCACTTATAATTGATTTTATTTCTTAAATTTTAGAAGGGATATTAGGAGAGATAATAGATGGTAAAACCTATCCAAGTATAATTAACTAACTCTCCTCCGATCGGTGCTTGCAAATGTCAAGTTGACAACGCAACATCTTAACCATCTCCGTTTAGTGTTTGCCCTTTGCCATGGCAGCTGATTGTTCGATTTTTCCGAATTTTCCATTGCACAATCGCCAGCACATCGAACTGCCAACGGATACAAGCAATTTGTCACAGCCGAGATGCACTCGAGTGCATTTATTGTGTTTAGTGTGTCGGCAAAGTTCGGGTCGAGCGGCCTGGGTCGAAAGTAAAAGTGATTCGCAGTGGTTCTGTTGAGTCATTGCCCGCGAAGAGATCACATGGTGGCACTTAAATGGAAATCCCAGCCAAACAGCCAGCAAATTGATCGGATCGCATCGGAATGATCGGATCAAGTGTTATGAATGAAGCCGAAACACACTGATCACACTGCGCACACTCAAGGTCGATGTGCAGGCTTCTATGTTTGATATCTCTTTTCAGCCGTGTTTTTTCTACGTTTTGGTGATACGAATTCGATTTCGATATGGATTTCGCATGGCCAATGTCGTGCGTCGCTTTGCCTTTAATTAATAAATGCGCAAAAAAATGCCTGTGTTGGCCGTTCGGCCACAAAACGCTAATTACAAATGCCGCCAAGAGCAAGATCGAGTCGAGTTTGCGGCCCAAACAGCAAATCCGAGCAGCAACTACAACTCGAACAACTTCTTGACATTTTGGTTATGCTCATGCGTGCATTGCAATTTTTCGTTTTCGTCTATAATATTAAGTTGCCGCTTTTGTTGCCGCTTTGGCTCAGTACCTGACCCAATCGTCAAGATCTGCGTTTTGGGCCTACGTTAGCAAGTAGTGGGCCTATTGTTCGGCTTCATTCAATACCGCAACTCCTCTTAATTGCACACACTCGAACAGTCGTGAAATTAATCAAATTTATTGTCGAGCCCGAAAGCCATAATTAAATTTAATATATGCAACGAAAGCAATCGCGATCGACGTACCGGCTGCGTGTGAAATCTTAGAGTGACGGACCGACTGAACTTAGACATGAGTCATCGATGAAATATGGCAGAAATCGAGTTAGGCCTATAATTTAGTGTTATGATGATAAGGCGATGAAAATTACTTTTATATTTGATAAATATATGCTTTCAAGCATATAGTAAATATCTATTATCAAGGCCTTCTTTTCTCTATCATTACATAAAGTTATTTACTAGAATGGTTATCTTCGCTGAAGATTCTGTTTTCTATTTGCTTACTGATTGAAGTTTTGGAATCCGTGTCTGTCGTTTCTTGCAACGCTAGAAAGGAGGATTAAAGACTGAATACCTTTGGTTCTTCATTAACGAGGCAACTTCTCCAAAAACAAATATTATTACATTAAAAAGGAGATAAAGTGTAACCGGATCTATCTCTAGTGTAGATGAATAACTTAAGACAAATTTAAGGTTTATTGAAAAGGATTCAATCTTGAAAGTGATATTTTCAGACATTTTACCAAAATAAGTTTTCCCTTCCCAAGGATTTTATATCAATAGACATAATCTAAATCAACTGACCATTATTTCTTTATTTTGTGTCAGCACTCTCTAACTTTTCAAGGTTTTCCATTGGCTACGAAAAGTCTGGCAAGTCTCTTCTACAGATCGAGATATATATTTATATATATGTGCAAAGATCGATTGGCTTACGCATGTGCAGTGGAAACTGCAGCTCGACATTTACGCTTAAATCATATTTTATGGCTTTTCAGCTGAAAATCGAATGTTAACTTGTTTGTTTCGTTCTGCTTTTCAGCAGCATTTTGGCGATTGTTGTTGTGTTTTTTGTTGCCTGTTTGCTTGTCGGCCAATTCAATTCAAGTTCGCATCGGGCCAAAGCCAAAGTCGAAGTCGAAGTCGGATTTTGTTCAGCCAACTTGATTCGAATGCGATCGCGAATTGAAAACAAAAACGTGAATGCTGCACGCACTAAATGTTGTTGTTCTTCTTTTGTAGACTTAAACTTAGTGCTTAACTTAAATATGGAAGTACCTAAATCTAATCATATCAGTGATCTTGTTATTTAAATATTTAATTATAATTTTTAACAATTTTCATGGTATTTATACCTTTTAATATCACTGAATAATTGTTTTCGCTGGCACTCTGTAATTTTCCTACGCCATAAAATTCAATTCAAGCCCCTTTAAAATGGCAAACCCTCCCACTAAATTTTCGATAACAATCGCCTAACATGACATGACAATTTACAACCCACATTGAGATCGGTTAATATAAATTTTTCCATGCACGTCTTTTTGTGTTGTTTGCCATTTTCTCTGAGCTTTTTTAGTTGCATTAAATTTCATTTTATTAGCATTTTGTTTGATTTACTTCCTTTAGATGCAAACTGCATACAAATGTGGATGTGCCAGCGATTTGCATTTGAAGTGCCGATCTCGGGGAACGCGATATCCTAGACTTAAGCTTATTGTATATCATATTTCTTGACATATTTCTAACACTATTACTGTTCTGGCCATTATGGGGGCACACACAAATACTGGCAATTAGCACGTTTTCCAATTTGACGCCACGCGTCTTGCTCCATTGAACAGTTATTGCAGGTTTTGGTTGGCTTTTTGGTTTGGCTTATAGCGATAGCGATAACAATGACGAACTACCATTGTCGTCACACCTGCTGGCGAAATTAGCAATGCATACCTGAGTTTATCTGGCTACCAATTGATCGCGACTCGTGCTGCAACGTCATGGAAAAGATGAAAATGAAGGAAAAGGTGGAAAAGTTGGAAAATACGCCACAGCCTGCAGTCATGTGACCGATCTGTTCACGTGATTTGGCAAGCGACGGGTAACTAATTTGCCACTAATAGCGAGTCTGTGTTGCAAGTGTTTTCCGCGGGGAAATGGCAGCGACAAGCTTCCATTATGTTGCCAATATTGCTACTCGATTTCATTATGGTAATTATTAACGCTTTCAATATGATTATTACATTGCAACTGATGATTTGTAATCAGAAATTGGAAAGGAGGACGTTTTTCCTAAGAGCTTGCAAAGTGGTAACCATTATTACGCATACGACATGTATGACAGACTAATTGCTTAACATTATATTTCTATGAAAATCAATAGAAGTTAAATTATTAATCTAACATAACATAACATCACAGATAATATTAATATTATTTAAGCTTTGTTCCAAAATATATAATAAATGAAGTGGCAATCATTATCACTCATACGACATGTATGCCGGACTAATTGCTTACCAAATCCACAACTTAAATTGTTTTAGATTATCACAGATACAAGTAGTATTATTTTTAGCATTTATAATGAATGATTTTTGGCTTAGTTTTGTTTTAAAATATTTAATAACTTAACTCAATAATATACATATTTTAAAACTTTTTCTGTGAGTTTTCGGAAGCCTGTTTTTTCCACATAATGTTATATGAGGGAGCTAAAAATAGAACATCATAGAAGCCTTTTCGTGTTCTTGATGGATTCGGTCGGTTGAGCTTGACTTTTGTGGTGCCATAAATCGAATGCAAAGCGTAGATCGCTTTAAATGCTAAAGCACGACAAACAGTCGTCACTCCGCACAGCATAGCGTAATTAAACGCATAATAATCTAATTGCATATTTTGCGTGTTGATTAATGTTAATTGCCAGCGCAGACGCTTTTGCTGCGAGCGCGCATTTATTATTCGCACTGCGAGTGAGTTCCAGTGTGCGTTTGTAAATCTGTCAATTTTGTAAATTACATTCGCACGCAGTCTTGAGTTTTGAGCGGCGAGCTCAGCATTCGTTCTGCTGTGTTTTTGTTTTTTTCTTACGGCTGGCCCGCGTTGTTGTCGCTTTTAAATGCCAATGTCTCTTGGCCAAAAAGCGCAGCGTTTGTGAATGAGCCGAAAGTGTAACGCGGCGGTGGCGTGTCCTTGAAAATGCCCGCCGATCAACGCACGCACCGCCGACTTCGGGCCACAAAATCTCCGACTTGGATAGCAGATCTCAAATAAGAAATCTCTGGCCCGATGCGTTCTCTTTGTGTGATCTGTATTAGGTTCATAAGGGTGGACCTAATGATAAACTAAGAGCTTTTATAAAATTAAAATCTAATTTCAACCAGTTACAAATCCTGCTAATTAATAATTAATATGAAAAAAGTCAGAGCCACATTTACTATTAATTAAAATGTATAAAACTCAATAAAAAAAGACATAGCGAAGTATTTTTTTTGTATTTTAAACCATAAAAAAATTCTACGTATTTTAAGTTTATTATACCCGTTACTCGTAGAGTAAAAGGGTATATTGTATTCGTGCAAAAGTATGTAACAGCTAGAAGGAACTGTTCCCGACCCTATAAAGTATATATATTCTTGATCAGGATCACCTCCTGAGTTGATATAGCCATGTCCGTCTGTCCGTCTGTCTGTCTGTCTGTCCGTATGAACGCTGAGATCTCGGAAACTATAAAAGCTAGAAGATTGGCATTTTGCATGTAGATTTTAGAAGTTCCTACGCAGCGCAAGTTTGTTTCAAAATGGTGCCACGCCCCCTTTAACGCCAACAATCGCTTATACACGATTTTAAAAATTTAAATATTTCGGAAAAGTAAAAATGCAGTTTTATTGTGTTTATCAATACCTATCGAAATGTAGAAGAAATTTTTCAAATCGGACCATTCGTAAAAAAGTTATGCGTGATCAAAGTTTTTATCTCCATCTCCCTCGCACTCCCTTTACCTGAGTAACGGGTATCTGATAGTCGGGGCACCCGACTATAGCGTTCTCTCTTGTTTTAAATATGTACCTTCGAAAATTGTATTAAATTTTATAAAAAAAAATGTTCTTGCATTGTACATTTTTCAATACAAATGTATCCAAGTCCTTCCTAAAAATTAATCATACGTCCTGTAAGCCAAGTCAACATTATTTCAATAAAAACTAAATAGGAAACTAGGCAGTTAACTAAAATGATTTTATATTTCAAAAACAATAAATTTCGTTCCAAAAATGTTAACTAGTTTTTGGTCCATCCTAGCTTAAATTTGTATGCGTATAGTTACCTGGGCGATTGTGGCCACCGTCAAGCCAAAGGTGAATGCGATTTGTGGTACACTTCCGCTCGTTGTGCTGCCAACGCCGACGAAGACCAAGAAAAATGTGCCCAGCAGTTCACCGAGCAGCATGCGCCAGATTTTCTTGTTCTCGGTTATGTCGGCAACGCCAACGAATTTCGACATTTCTGCAAATGGAAAAGACAGACCGAACAGAACCCAATATTAGTAATCGCAACAAAACATAGAAATCAGAAAAAACAGTTGATTGAGACCTGCGCAGCGCATGCCAAATCATTATTAATTATTAGTTTTTGTCAGCTTATTGTCATTTTTATGCAGCTCTTAGTCAATAAAGTCGGCATGAAAAAATTACAAAAGTGTGGTGTTTATTTAAGTGGGACTATTAGCAAAAAAGTAATTAAGTTTCACTTCTTTTGGTAAAGTTTTTATTTAAGGTTTAGAATTTGTTGTGCAAGTTTTCAATTTATATTTATTTGTAGTAATTTCATTACCGTTTCTACTAGTTGGCAAGTAAATATAAGGTATTTGACGTATTATGTGACGTTATAGGCATTGCAAATGCACTTTAGAATGTGCACGTTTGTTGCAATTACGTCAAAGAAGTTATAGTGAATATTCACACCTCGTTTTCTTGGAATACCTAGGCTCAGTTCATACAAATTAAACAAAGATTATTCATAAGTATCCAAAATAACAGGGTCAATACTCAATAATTATCGCTTAATATTGTTTACTCGTTGTTCAAACAATTTGCCCTTTTGCACAGTCCGTTCAAACAATTTGCATCGTTTTATTAATTAATTTGTTTAATAGCACTTTGGTGTTTACTTCCTGGCAGAAGCCTTTCATTTGTCATTATTGCTCGCGCCAGTCGCAGTTGAGTGCTAATGAGTGGGTGTTAATTAATTTGTCTACGCGCCAAGCTGTCTTAGCAAATATTTGCGAATAAATGCAGTCTAAGCCCCCATTGCACTGCCAATAAAACTATTTATAAACGTGATGACTGCCTTTTAATTTGGTGCAATTAAAAGAAATGTGGGGCTTATCAAAGAGTTGAGAAATTCTGGCTGCCTTAAAAAGGCTTCACCTCGTTAGTTAAGCCGCATTTAAATAGAGATATTTTTTTAGAGCTGTCACTTGACCAAAATGCCAGTTTAAGTGATAAACACACAACGCCCCTTTTTCCACTGATAAGTGACGCGATGTTATCGCCAAGTTCGCACACTTCACTTAATATGGCAATTATCTGGCGTCCCATGACTCTGACTACCAGAGATAATGGCAAAGGAAGGAAAACCTCATAAAAATCTGGGTGTCAACAGGCAGTTACGACTTGCTACTGGCATCAGCTCAAAAGCAATTACTAAATGCATTGCCTCCTTTAAATTCCGCTGAAGTATTACAAATCGGGTGAAAATATCAAATGGCAAATACCAGATGCAGGTTAACGTGATCTGAATTTGAAGAAATCCCTGAGGAATTCCCCCCTGCAAAACCCCAGAAAACCCATAAATAACTTGAGCTGACAGCAACTTGTGATATTTCTTGGAAATCAATTGAAATTTGGCGTCACTTTTTATCGAAATAAAACTACAGAGCGATAAGGCAATAAAAGTTAGAACCTATGGTGTGACTAACAGAGTTTAAAAGTGACAGTAAATTTAAAAAATCTATATCACACTTTTGATCTAAATATTTTAAGCCCAGGAAGTGCCCATTAAAGAATATTAAGTGAGCCATAACCATTTTATCAAATGAAATATGATAGTTTCGACATACTTTGGTAGGCGGATACACCCACATAAGGTGCGTAAATAAGATTGGCAAATGAAACCAGATCAACCTGTTGACAAGAATCGCAATTGGCCAAAACTCAATTAGCATAATTGTACGAAATTTATGGGTTATTTGCAATAAACATTTGTTTAATTCGTTCAGTGTTCTCTCTATGTTAATTTGCAGAGACAAAAACCAATGTAAATTGATTTTAATTAAAGATAACGAAATGTCAAACATAATTACACGATCATTGTGGGACAAGCAAACACAAATTATTGTTGAACTGTGCATCTCCGTTTGACAATCAATCAATATACTGTAAAATGCGCGAGGGGGAAATTAATAACTTTATCTGCCAGATATTAATCACGGCAATTGAATTTAAAATCGAGATTCAAGTTCAATGGAACTTGAGGATCATTAATAAGCAATTTGTGGGGCTTTCATTTAAGGCTTTGAGCTGTGAAATGCACTTGGTTTAATGGCTGTTAGCCAGTTTAGTTGACATTCAAATAGGCAGTAACTCTTGGGTGAGTTATATAGAATATGGTACTTTGTATACATAACGCTTGGGCAATCAGCAGCAATCAGTTCTATAATTGATGAGCTTTATATCTTTAAGGTTTGCTTTCAGGAAGCAGACTAACTCAACAGGTCTCCATAAAGATAAAGTAGTGACTGCTACCTAAAAATAAACCTTATCTCGGGTGCTCAAGCGACTTAATCTAAATTGCCCGGTGCGATTTGTTTTGGGCCTTAACAACCTTCATAGGCCTTCTTGTCACATCCTTGGGACTTGGCTAATGCTCAACATAACACACATCTTGATATGCCATTGAAATTGGTCTGAAGAAAATGCGAAACCCAATAAATTATTGTGGCCGGCAGGCACATTAAAAAATGAAATTAACAATAAGAAAAAATCATAATAACAACAATTACACACAATATTCATCAATTGGAAGGTGAGGGCGTGACGACGTCGAGGCTTTCGGTTGGATTTTGTATATGTGTTTTAGCAAAAAATACAAACCATATAGACATAAAAACAATCCATCAGCAAGGCCAGTCGAGATACATTTGCGAGATGAAGATTTATCTGTGTTAATTTCGCCTTTAATTTGTCGAATACAATTTGATAATGTCCATAATGAATCGTAATTAATTTAATTAGAGGTAAAAGTTAGGTTCGAGATCGTCCAATGAATTCTAAGTGATTTGATTAGAGCACAAAGGTGTTTTCTAAATAAATTCAAGAACCGGGAACACTACATCAATTTTCCAGCCCATCAATCAGAACATGACAGTGTCATTGTCAATGCCATCGACATGAAATTAATTAGTGTGGCGCACATCAAAAGCAAACTTGCTTCGCTATCGCCAAAAAAAACATAAACAGAAACGAGCACAACTCGAACATTTAACATTTAATTTCTTTCAAATCGAAAAATTCCCGGCGTATGCGTAATAATATTTATTATCGGCTGCAAAATGGTTCGTTCTGGAGTCTTGCCATTAAAAAGTTGGCTTGGAATCGCCTGACCCACATACCAAAAAGTACCTGTTTGTGTTTAATACCACTAGTACCTGTACCTGGCACTTGATTTTGATGGCTTTGTCCCGTTTTTTTATTTTTTGCAGAGCCAAATTTGAAATTCAAAGCAGGTAAAGAGTGGCTTCGTTTCGGACTTCGTCTCACTCTTTTTTCTTTCTCTTTGGCTTCCGTGTTTGAAAACAACAAGCGAGCTCAACAATAAGCAAAGAAAACAAAACAAAACAATTTTTTATTACTCGTGCTCGAAGAGATTGAAATCTCTCGCCGGCGAAGTTTCAAGCGCTTGATACTCTTACAAAGAGTTCAACTATTATGTGGCCACTCCTTCACAAAATTCATTTAAATGATTTCATTTCTTACAAAGTATCTTAAAGTAGTAAAATACTTGAAAATTATATTTAACTATTATGCAGTTATTTTATAAATGTTATACTAATTTCCCATAAATTCATATTTTAAGTTAGATTAAACTAAAAATGTTTGCTTATACTGTTCCTGCAACTCAACTACCAATGACTCTCCCTTAAATGATTCAATTTCTTACCAAATATCTTAAAGTAGTACAATACTTCAAAGTTAACTGCTAAACTAATTTCCCATAAATTTTAAGTTAGACTGTTACCATCTGATTAAACTAAAAATGAATGCTTATACTGTTGCTGCAACTCAACTCGCAACTCCCAACATTTCTTTCTTTAAACTCAAATAAAATACTATTTTCAGGGTATACAAAATTCGTAACCTCGCAGAACCTGCAAATGCAATTAAAATGTCAAGGTCGTTGCACATTTCACCCACACCCCTTAATAAAAAATCTTAGCACTTTCGTTATCGCTGGCAGGCCTGATAAATCGCAATCCTCGTGGGAAGTATTCTAAGCCGCAGTTAAAATTCACTTTCACAGGCGCAGAACCTTCGGCACGATTCAAGTGGTACTCGTAATATTTAACTATTTCGCAATGCCCGAGATAGCATCTTGAATTTGCGGCCCGCTAGCTTTCAAGTGATTGCCAAGTAGGTTCTGGCCGACGATTTATGGCTATTGCCCGGTGGAATAGCCAACTGAATGACTGACCGATAAGATAGGTGAGCTGTCTGCTCCCAGAAAGCCAGATAGCCAGAGAATTTCAGATCCCCATGTACGGTTTTATTTGACTGGCCTGCATATAATTACCGTATTATTAGCAACTCCCGGCACTGGAAATTGCTCGGCTCTTGAACCCAAATATAGTAATCCACATTGGGTGTCCGAATCGGAATCTATGCCAAGTTGGCCGGGACTGTTTTAAGTGCATGTCTGACCCCCGGGAAAAGCGGCGCTGCAGTCGCCATAAACTTGATGTTGCCGCGGATGTCCGCTCGACATGGTCTTGCACCTGTTCTGGTTGTTTCTAATGTGGCTCACATCCTGCAAACCTGGTATGGCACGCCCACTGAGAGAAATTGGGGAATACTTAAAGAAATACTAGATTTCTTTTCTTCTAATAACAATGTTTTCTTAGCAAAGATATTCAATATTTAAGGATTGAATATTCTTATAACATTTGATCTACAGTTTTCTAATTTTTCAATGATTCCTTACAGAATATGAGATCTAACATAGAGATCGTTTTTATTTCCATTAACTAAGACTGATTAAATTAAATGATAATTGACTATCGCTAGCTTATCCTAATTGTTATTTTAAGAATATAAGGTTTAACATGAAGACCGTAAAGATAATAAACAAGATCTTAATATTTTAGAATTTTAAAAACTGTTCCTTAATATTATCTTTATAATTTATGTTGATAATCAATTAAAAACAAAACTTCTGGGCGACTTTACTTTGGATAGGTTGAACTTGTGTAAGACCTGCAAAGGGTGGCATCTATTTTATAATAACTGATTTTTGTGAGTAACTATTTCTTTCAGTGCTTCTTGTGTCCAACCTTGGCTATAGCAAAAATCAAGGTGTGGGGGCGTGCCGAGGCACACGTGCCCCATCCGCAATAAAGGCCAAGTCAAAGGCTTGGCTCTGCAAAAGCCGCTCCCAAGTCCTGGCCCCGAATCACTTGGCTGGTTATGTTGATTGGGGAACTTGGGTTAGTGGCCATGACTTATCTGCGTATTATTAGAACATGAGCAATGTCATCGCCTGTCGCCTTTTCTCACCTCGTTGCAGGATGGAAAGCATTTTCCGCTCTTACAACTCATTAATTCGCTCGAGTCACGCAAATTTGGCATAAGTTTACTAATTTATGTCCATTTCTGCTCATATGTTTCTTAATCATTCAGACAAGGAGTGGGGAACACAGAAATCGACTGACTGACAAAAAGGATTCACAACAAGAAAGGAAAGCTAACTTCGGGCGAAGCCGAAGTTGATATACCCTTGCAGAATATTTTATAAATTATATTGTCCAAAATTATTCATATGATGTATTCTTAATACTCATAAAATGTCCCAACTTCCTAACTTTAAAAACACCAAAGTTATGTCATTTCCAATCGTTCAGTTATATGGCAGCTATAAGATATAGTCGGCCGATCCTTATGAAATTTGGTAGGTCGGATTGATTAGCCAAAAATAAAACCCATAGAAAATCCCAACTTCCTAACTTTAAAAACACCAAAGTTATGGCTTTTCCGATCAATCAGTTATATGGCGGCTATAGGATATAGTCGTCCGATCCTTATGAAATTTGGTAGGTCGGATTGATTAGCCAAAAATAAAACCCATAGAAAATCCCAACTTCCTAACTTTAAAAACACCAAAGTTATGGCTTTTCCGATCGTTCAGTTATATGGCAGCTATATGATATAGTGGCCCGATCCGGCTCGTTCCGACTTATATACTACCTGCAATAGAAATACAACTTTTGGGAAAGTTTCAAGCAGATAGCTTTAAAACTGAGGGACTAGTTTGCGTAGAAACGGACGGACAGACGGACAGACGGACAGACGGACAGACGGACAGACGGACAGACGGACAGACGGACAGACGGACGGACAGACGGACGGACAGACGGACAGACGGACATGGCTAGATCGACTCTCCTGGTGATGCTGATCAAGAATATATATACTTTATAGGGTCGGAAATGTCTCCTTCACTGCGTTGCAAACTTTTGACTGAAATTATAATACCCTCTGCAAGGGTATAAAAACAAGTTTTATGGGTTATGATAGTTTTTAAGGTGTACCAAATGGGTATTTTCTTGACTGACGTCACGTTGAAACGTGTGCAATTATCATCAACAAGAAAGTGAAAATAAATTAGTGATATTTTGAAGAGACAGCTGCTTTAATGGATTTTATATAAGACTTGGTTTGACATATATAAGGTTAAAAAAAGAACAAATGACTTTACATTAAGGAGTGTCTTAAACAATTTGACCATATAAACGACTCGCGTTAATTTGATTGCGTAAATTTACAAAGCTTATTTTTGTCCATATATGCAAATTATGTTATTGTCGTTTATCTGAAGTGAGTGCCAAGCACTGGGGCATTAATTTCCCATATGTAAGTGCAAAACAAAAGGTTCTCGCATATTGTTTTCAATCCATTTCGTCTACAACAATTAATCAACTTAATCGGATTATTAATTTCGGTTTGCGCAACTCTTGGGCACTTTTGTTCGGTTAGGTGATGATTTTATTAATAACAGTCGCGGGAAAGATCGAAACCTGTTCGCTGGCCATTAAAATCGTTATAAATTAATTAGTCAGCCGGGCAGGGACTATTCAGTTTTCGTTTGCTGTGCGGGAGGAGTGCGTCCCCATCGACTTGTAATCTTTATGGGCTTTTGCTCAAACGAATTTATGTCGCTTTAACTCGCTAACAATGTACCATAAATCAGGTGCGATTTATTGAGGGTTGTGCTTTATGACTAACTTTGGAAATTTACCAATTAATTGCGATAATTTGAGATGAACTGATAGGGAGATTTTGTAGGTGCTTTTTTAAATTAAAACTTTAAAGCCCCTAAAAAAGATAATAAAAACAATATCTTTAGGTTCTCTTTTTACTCAAAAATGTATTTAATTTGTAACTCTCTAATTAAAAAAATTGTTAAAAACTTCAAACATTAATTTTAATGAAAACCCAATAATTAGAAAACACAATTTAGATTAAGTTGCAACATTGCAACAACATTCGAACATTCCAATTATTATCCCCACAATTCCGTACATTTAATTGAACGTTACGTGAATTAAAAACTTTCCATGGGAACCGAGCATTTTCGCTTCTGTGCATCTCAATGGCAGCTTATTATCTTAATTATAAGCTATCTGATTAACAAACAAGTTGATCTTCCACTGAAAACTGAGCTGAGATGTCTTGAAATAAGTAGAGATGCGCACTAACTGTGCTAAATGTCTAAATGTTCTATGGCCGTACCAAAACAATTTCCTGGCTTTAAGTGTGCTACTGTTTTGAATGCCAATTTCACCGTGATGTCATGTCAACTTGGCTCACGATTATTACTGTAATTTCATATCTGCGAATCCGACGCCATAAAAACAGCAACTAACGTCAGGTGGAAGTGTATATATAGCGATGTTGGCCCAAGATGACAACGCATTGAATTATGAGTCGGGGAAGATGTTCAAGCAAAAAAAAAGAGAGAGATCAAATTAGCCACACGTTTGTACTATAATTTGCAGAATTTCAACGCCCAAGGGTCGCGAATTTCTCACGCACCTCACAAAACTATTTTTAAGGTCTTATTACTCTCAACAAAAAAATGCCACCATTAACCAATGAACCAAGCAGTAAAAATATTTAATATCTAAATCAAATATTGAACCTTGTGTTTAAACACTTGATCAAATAGAAGCTCAGGCGTTGACATTAATTAGCTGGAACCGAGAATTTCAATAATGGAGCTTGGCTGGCAAATGAATTTTAGCACTAGGTAAATATTATCGCCATTATCACAACGATATCGGTGGAACAAGCGGCGAAAATGACGCCAGAAATAGTCTTTAATTCTTGGTGGTAAACAGAAAATGCAATTAAGATTTTAATTAATTGCCTGTTGAAGCTGCACAAATAAAAACTCCCATTTTTCGGCTACTAATTTGTTTTTTTCTTCCAGTTCATTCACTTGACGGTGTAGTTTTTTATTGCTTTCGTTGGGGAGTCATCAACATCATCATCGTTTGAATTGCCCGACTGTAGTTTCCGCTGTTGTTTACCTATCAAAGTTTTCTCCTATCTATCTTTTTTTCTTCTTTCGAGGCTTTTCTGTCATGCAAACTTTCAGTTACAGAAATCATCATCAATCGCCACGGAAGCTAAATCAAAGCAGCACAAAAAAATACGTCTAACTATAGAAAAATAACTTGAGGCTAATTTACTGTCTTTGTCACGCTGCGCCAGAGAAATTATTGAAAAGCAATCATCTCGTTATCGATATCGACAGGCGGGCTACTCTTTGATTTACTCATTCAGCCCAACGAAAAAGATGATTTATCAAAATATATTAAGATAGCTTATTAGAGATGATTAATTACACAGGAATGATTTATTTCTAAGCAAATTTTTTAGGCCACTTTGGGTTTGTTTAGAAAGTGAAGTAGTCTCAAGTTTTCATTTAAATTAAAATTAAACTACAAAATAGTTTAATAAAATATGTAGTTACAATATAAGAAAGAATAAGTTAACATTTCTTGGTATGCATTTTTTTGGGATAACTCAATCAAAAGTGTGTAAATAATTTCTTACGATCTATCTTAAAGTATATTAAACAAGGTTCATAATTTAAAAATATTTTTGAAGTCTAAGCTAAAACAAATTGTTAATTATTTTTGAAATAATCAAAAAATTAGTTTTAGAAGACTTCTGATAAAATCGGCTTGGAACTATTTTTTCTTCATCACTTTTTTTTTTAAGTTCCGGGGGTTTCTCAGAGTATCTTAAATATGACCGAAAAATGAGTTGTTAATATTTTTTATTTTATCTGATATCTTAATTAACAAACTACCTTTTTTGAAAATTAGAAACACTTTCTATGACTCAAATCTCTCTGCAAACTGAACAAGTGGGTTGAGTTATTGCAAACCGAAACAAATATAGACATTTGATTTAATATTTTTCAAACAAAAGAGGAAAGCCCCAAAAGAGTGGCATTAACTTTCGCAGATAATCGAAACAATTTCGCGCACTCTTCGCCCCCATTTGATTTGCAATTAACCTTCGCACACACGCACACGCATAGTTCGCATTCTCCAGTCTCCAATCTTCAATCACTCACCTGTTTTCTCAACCATTTTGCTGTCTTCTGTCTTTGGTAGACTGTCTTCTGTCTTCGATCTACTGTCTTCTGGAGAGTGCCACTTGAGATTTTCGCGAAGCGTGGGGGGTTTTTGAATTGAACTTGTGTTTTGCTTTCGTTTTCAAAGCGCGCTTTTTGCTCAATTTTTTTGTGCTGCACAGGTAAAAGTGAGTTAGCGAGCACTCGAATCAAACTGAATTGTGCCAATAGTTTTTTTGTGGCCGAAATATAATTGTTAAGGTTAAGAGTCTTGAGGTTGCACAATTGTCAGGCACTTGACCACAGAGTCGAATGGGCGGACTGTGGAGTTGTCTTGTCAAATTATTATTTTCACCCGACTGCCTGTTTTCCTTAGCTCGCCTTGTTTATTTTCACACTGGGCTCAATTATGATTTGCTCGAAATTGGAAAGCGCAACGTACAATAACTCGATTTTATTATATCAATTAAATTAACCGCTCCCGAACTCGATTTCCTTTTCGAATTTATTTTCAAATTACCGTTGCCGCTTGAATTTTCTTTTCTCGGATATTGTAGTGCTTACTTATGAGCTGTGCTACCACGTTCGCTGCTCGAGCGCAAATAAACGTTGGCAACGTTGCGGCTGTAACTGATATACTCTCTGTCGCAGTCGCAGTCGCTGTCGCTGCCTCAGTTGCCGTCGACGTCGGCCGTGGCAGCGACGCCGACTGAGGCAGCGACGTCAGATTTTTAGTTTTGGGGCTTGGCCAAACGCTCGAAAGGATCTGGGTTCGGAATACACCTGCTCTGGTGATGACTTAATCGAATGGGGGTGTAAAAACATTTATTATGGCTCTTGGGCGGGAACATATGGTTTGCGATGGCTCTATTTTGCCAATGTGAGTTGCTTACCTTTCAGTTGCAATGGCAAAACATTAAATTCCTTTTGCACAAAAGCTTTTTGTTGGCTCTGGCTTAATTTAACATTCCATTACTGTTCGTTATTCGATTATTTTTCAGAAATTATACATTAAGATTACTCAATTGGATAGGTTTTCATCAATTAAAAATTAATGCCTTCGATTAAAACAAATGCTTACTGATGATTGGTGGCCCTCCCTTGAAGTTCAAAACATCTTCCAACCATAGATTTTAAAAGAAATTATTACTAAATTAAATAGTTATAATAATGGCTTTAGTTAACAAATTAAATTTAAAACGACCGATAATTAACCGATCAAATACCTCAATACCCACAATCTCTAGTACCACAAAAAACTACATTTAAAGAAGATAAGATAAGAAATTTAAAAATATAATATTAAATTGATAACAACGAAGGCAGTCCAGTCTATTAAATATTTCAGTAATGGCCTACCTAATCTTCTTAAGCTTCTTTAATATAGAATTGCTAATATTGCGCCAATTAAAAAACAATGAAATTCAATTAACCCAAGATGTGTCAAATTTTTAATCTAATTGTTATTGAGCAAGGGGAAAGTTCAGAGCCATTTTTGGTTTTTGCACACAGCTTAATAGCTATCAGCCTTCCATTTTGGGCACTTGAAATATTATAACACTCACAAAGCCATAAACATTTTTGATTAATCTAATTGCGCTGGTCATGCAGAACCTCAGACTTAATTATCGCATTGCTCAGATCTTATCATCCCAGCAGAGTTTTAACTTTTGGTAATCCACAAATGTCGCACGTGACAGGTTTAGCCCCCAAAAAATACGCCTAGTCGACCACACACCTCAATGCCGGAACGGTTTTCATTTCATTTTAATGGCACATTATTGCAGCTTTTCCACTTTTAACTCGGCTAATGGGTTATGGACGGTTGGCCCCTTATCAGTTTCACTTTTAAACAACTTTCCACGGCTTTAATATGCCATATTGATTGCGGAGTTTCGCTTATGAATAGGGCTTTTACCTTGTCGTTGTCAGCCTATTTTTATCTCTGCCGAGAGCAACAGTTGCGAGTTATTGACAAAACAAGTGACAACCAGAAATAAAAGGAGGCATTCGCCCAGAGCCTCGATTTTGTTTGTGGAAGCGTCTCAACCCATTATGAAAACAAGAGCCAAAACTCAGACGGATTTATTTTTGCCAACAGTTGGCGGAGTGAAGCGATAGACTCGCCGACTTTGTTGCTATAATGAGTAATTATATTTAATGCCAGTTAACCATTAAAATGGCACGAACTCTGGCTAAATGGGCGAGATAATAATCGCCGGCTGTTCAGATGGTCTATGCTTGTCGAATTACCAATAGATCTTGGGCTCCAGCCTCCTTTTCATTCGGGTTTTTATTCAACAAAGTAACACCCTTAGCTTCCTTAGAAAAAACAATTAAACGAGCTATAATTTGCTCAGTAGAATAAGATGGAGATTGTGGAAATCATTCAACGAGTTTCAAATTAATATACTGTTTAATAATAAGTATAGTAAATATGAACCTATTAGCAATTTACCATCATTAACGAAAAAATGGATATGATAGAATAGTAATTACATAAATTTGTGCGATGTATTAAAAATCATTTTGATAAGAATAGAAACCTTTAAAATATTAAACTCTTAGACTTTTTTGAAGACATAATTATTTTTATTACGAGCAATAAAGTAAGGTCAATATTTCCTATGAGTGAAAGTGGAAAAACAAAATTGGAAAATCTGTTTCCAAGCAGCTATTTCCTTTTCCTCAATGAATCGTACAAAATTTGTTTAAAGTCCATGCAAAATAACCAGCAACTGCAATTACCAAATTCAAATTGAATTTAATTTGGTTTTGAGCAATTATCTGTTTTCTCTGCACTTGGATCTTGTGATGCTACGAAAACAATTCAAAATACGGTAAAGATAATAACCGTAAGCGGACTCCAGTGACATTGAAACATTTGCAATTGTAACTGAAAATGACGGACGATCGCCAAGTGGACTGAAAAATATGAAGAAAATTAAAAATAAAAAATATAAAAAGAAAACAAAGCTAAATAAATGTGTAAGCGCAGACAGAGAGAAGCGATAATAATCTCGAACAGAATCGCTAAAATTGTGTATGCTTATGGGGGCGGGTAATAAACGAATTGAAATGAATTTTGGGCGCACAATAACCGCCAATGAGTCGGTAGAAAATTAAATGCCCCGAAATTGGTTCAATCAGGTGGCAAAAAGTAGGAGCGTGTGGCCAGTGTGTTTTTTTTTTGCGTATGATTGATTTAGCCTGGGCAGCAGCCAAAAATCGAATAAAGGTCAATGTCACAGCCCACCCCCATTCCGCTTTTTTCCCCAGTCTGCGATGCTCCATCTCCGCCGTTTGACACTTCATCAATCTTGGTTAGTGGTCGCTGAAAAAGTGTGAGTCTCCAAGTCGGAGTCTATGGGTCTATGCAAATTTAGCCATCGCTCTGATTATGGCTTGCTCAGGTATTTTACACAGACCTTATGTTTGCTACATGGGAATTATAATAAACTAGGAGTAACTTATTAAAATTATAGAGCAAGATAAGTTTCCCTGTTCTAATAACCATTTTTGTGCAAAATATTCAGTTAAGAGAGAACCTTTCAAAAAACAAATAAAGGTAAGCGAATAAGTATCAAAAAGTATTTCCATAATAACAATAACAATTAATTTTACAATTTAATCTGAATAAAAGACAATTTAATACTTATGCCTTAAATCTAATGTAAATGTATTTCTTATTTGATTTGGTTAAATAATTTTGTTAAGTGAAAATGCGATCACATAAAACGGGTTTTGATAGTTATAAAAATATAGTAAATTATAGTAACTTGCCTTAAAGCTAATGTAAATGTTTTTATTTTTTAATTCGGTTAAATTTTTGTATAAAGTTAAAATACGATCACATTAAACGGTTAGTGATACTTAAAAAAATATAGTAAATTATAGTAACTTGCCTTAAAGCTAATGTTAATGTTTTTCTTTTTTAATTTGGTTAAATGTTGTTGTTAAGTTTAAATACAATCACATTAAACGGTTGGTGATAGTTATAAAAATATAGTAAATTATAGTAATAGTTTGTATAAAAAGTGGCCTTTAGGCTATATTCACTGTACACGTATATCATACATTATGTTTCAATAAGGCCGCTGCTTGGGGCTGTTGGCGTTTGCTTTTATTGTGTCTGGTCTTGCGGTTCTCGTTATTGTCTTTTTTTTTGGCAAGCCTCGTCCAAGTCCAATTCGAAATGTTGAATTGTTGTTGAGCTATTTGTTTTGCACATTTTCAGTCGCTTGTCGCTGTGCCGCCGGCCTCCGCTCCCTCGTCTCCACCGCGAAACTCCATCATCTTTGCAGCCATGACTAACCTCTGGTTGTTGGTTTTTATACCCTTGCAGAGGGTATTATAATTTTGGTCAAAAGTGTGCAACGCAGTGAAGGAGACATCTCCGACCCTATAAAGTATATATATTCTTGATCAGGATCACCTCCTGAGTTGATATAGCCATGTCCGTCTGTCCGTCTGTCCGTCTGTCCGTCTGTCTGTCCGTCTGTCTGTTTCTACGCGAACTAGTCTCTCAGTTTTAAAGATATCGAATTGAAACTTTGCACACACCCTTCTTTCCTTTGCACGCAGTATATAAGTCGGAACGGCCGGGATCGGCCGACTATATCCTATAGCTGCCATATAACTGATTGATCGGAAATGCCATAACTCTGCTGTTTGTTAGGTTAGGAAGTTGGGACTTTCTATGGGTTTTATATTTGGCCAATCAATCCGACGTACCAAATTTCATAAGGATCGGCCGACTATATCTTATAGCTGCCATATAACTGATTGATCGGAAATGCCATAACTTTGGTGTTTGTAAAGTTAGGAAGTTGGGATTTTCTATGGGTTTTATATTTGGCCAATCAATCAGACGTACCAAATTTCATAAGGATCGGCCGACTATATCTTATAGCTGCCATATAACTGATTGATCGGAAATGCCATAACTTTGGTGTTTGTTAAGTTAGGAAGTTGGGATTTTCTATGGGTTTTATTTTTGCCTAATCAATCCGACATATTAAATTTCATAAGGATCGGCCGACTATATTCTATAACTGCCATATAACTGAACGATTGGAAATGCCATAACTTTGGTGTTTTTAAAGTTAGGAAGTTGGGATTTTTTATGCGTATTAAGAATGCATTATGAATGATTTTGGAGAATATAATTTGCAGAATATTCTGCAAGGGTATTTCAACTTCGGCTCCGCCCGAAGTTAGCTTTCCTTTCTTGTTTTGCCTTTAAGTTGTCTTCACGCATGCGCCGTGGGAAATATTGCCAAGAGCTTTCGTAGAAACAAATCTTATGCGGGCATCTCAGCCGAATTCTGGTCATGGATCACAGATCTACGCCTCACATTCTCCAAGCAAAATGTTAAGGTTAATTCTGGCCCACGAGTCGTATACTCACTTCCTGTAGCACACACCGCGTATGAGCGATGTGTAAGCGCGTGCCGGTCCAAAAAATTGCAGGTAATTAACCAAGCCAAAAATAAAAAGCACTACTTCTCCTTCCCATCCATGTCCAGGCAAACAGGCTAAAAAGTTCGCAGCACTCGCACTCCAATATTGATTGACACAAGCACTTGGTCGTACTTGTACAATTTGCCATTTGTGTTTACTCAACTTCTTCGCTTTTTGTTCTCGCACTGGCTTTTGTTTTATATAAAAATACATGAAGAACAATTTGTTTTGTTTTCGTTTTTTAGTTAATTTTTTTTTTGTGAAGTTAGGCACGGCCGCTGTTGACTTATGGCGTACGTGTTATATATCGAGAGCCCATTAAGATGGGGAACGGTAATGGGCATATAAAAAATGGCAATTGATGAAAATTTACTTAGGTCCGATGCTGATAAGCCGTCACAGATGTTTCCAGTTTTTTTGCAATGCGATTTTAAGGGGTAATCAAAGCACTATTCGCAAAAAAATACTATATAACCAAGCAAAATGAGAGAATTATGTAAACTTCCGCCAAATGTTGGGCAAAAAACAGTACCTTACTTAAAATTCGCGTGGAGTTCTACCAAATTAATTGATTCCAGTTAGAGTTAATGTATTTGTTTTTAAAGCTGGTAATCTTGTTCTGGCTATCAGTAACTTATTTTAGATGTGCGGAAGTGGCTATTTTGATAATATAAGCGTGATTTATCAGCTAAAATGTTAACATGGAGTAAAACAAATCAAATAAGTGGTTATGAGAATAGCTGATTAGGTAAGTAGCGATTATAACAAAAGTTAACTTTAGACAAGAAAAAAAAAAATTAACACACCTTTCTAAAAGACATTAAGGATAATAAGGACTCTATTCTTATAAACTTTTCTCAAAGTAATTAAATGGAAAATATAAAGCAAAGTATTCCTCCCAATGATCACGTCATTCCCCGACTGCCAGCTTTAAATTCCAGCAATGTCTGATTTAATTAATGGCTTCCCACTTGGGGGCGCTATGACCGGACAATTCTAATTTATTATTTTGCCAGTCAGGACACAATTACTTTGCTTTTCCATATTTCACAGTGAGGCTCCTTGCCAGAAAAAAAAATAAGCGAAAGGCCGAGCCCTTTCGCGGGATTACAGGCCATATGCAAATGGGCGCAATGTCGGGCCAAGGTCATCGGTGAACTATTGTGTGGTGGCTGAAAAGTGGGCGTTGGCCAGGTGTCAAGAGTCAAGAGTCAAGTGTCAAGAGGAGTCGGCTGGTTCATATATTTCCATTCAACTGAAATGTGGACTGGATTTCCTTTTTTGTTTCACCAAAGGAGTCTTCTGTTATTAACTATGTAAATTAAATAAAGATCTTTATCTAAAGTAGTTGGAGGGACTGGTGTGTCATTCAAAAGAAGTCTTCCAAAATGATTTACGAAAGTCAGTTTCTCCTTAAAAATTTGTATATTAGAAAAAGAACAATCCTTATGCAAATTAATTAAGTTGGGGCTTAAGTTTTAAGTTTTGGGCTCACACAAAATGAATTCGGCTCTTACAAGCATGCATTCTAAGCATTCGTAATAGATTTTAGTGTGCAAATTCCTATCAGGTCATGAAAATGCTTCACAAAAATTATATTTGCCAAAAATTTCGTTAAAAATGTTAATGTTTTCTATATATATTTAAGCCTCAATGAAAAGCAAACACATACTTTCTGTATTTAAGAGAATTATCAATCATAAATTTATGGAGCCAGTATTTTATGACTCCTCATAAAAGTGTGCTTTGATTTCTGAAATGTGTGCTAATCCGTAACACAAACCAACTCACCAAATTATTGTTGGCTCACTCTCCCAAATCCACAGGTTATAAAAATAATATCAGAGCCAAGTCAATCCTTCAAAATCAGATAGCTCTCATCGAAAAAACAACAATCCCATAACACTTTTATTATTTTGTAATGATAAGATTTCATTTGATAAATAAACAAAAAGTTAATTTTTTCACTCTTCTATTACTTTAAAAATGTTTACAATATTTAATCTTTTAAAGTGGAATCTTCTACATTTAAAAAGACTGAATATAACATACGAAAAAAATTTTTTATCATGTTAAACGAGAATCTACACTTGAAAGATATTAATTTAAAAGAGCAAATAAACTTTGAACACTGCACCTTATAAAGATAAAATAAATTTGATTTTGCGTCAATATTTTATGGAAAAGTTCAGTGTCGTCCGGAGAACACATACACTAAATTAATTAAAGAAAGACATGATTTCTGACACAATTTTGTGTGATAAGAAAACCGAAAAACGATGGAAACTTTTCTGCAAGCGTCAATGTCTGACGTTGGCGATGGGTGGGATAATTATTACCCTATTTAATAACTATTTGCAGTTCATAAATTTAACAAAATTGCTTTCAGATAGACGATTGGTGGCAATTTCGATTTTAATAAGGTTTACCAAAGGTTCGCGTCTTGGATGAGCGAGAACAAGTGTGGTGAGTATGTGTGTTTTGGTGTTATTGTATTTTTGTCATTTATTAATTTCGAGATAATCGTACATTTAATTCTAGAATTCTTCTCTCAGGCTGTCCGGCTCTCCAAGCTCTCTTACTTTTTACATCGAGCTCTCTTTGCACCTCCGTCTTTGGGGCTTTGGTTTTTTGCTGCCAAAAGCGATCGCGCAGTTTTCGTCGTCGAGTCAAAGTGCGCGGATCGCTCGAGGAGCGAACTCATACTCCTGCCAAATTAAATTAAATATTTGTTAAGTGCAAGTTTAGGTGTTAGTTGTTGTTGCCGTAAAGCCAAGTTCGTAAGCAGGTGCAAAGGTGCAAAAGTGAGCTAATAACAAAACAAGGTAAACCTCTAATTGAAAGTGATCATAATCACAATATGCATATTTTAAAAAATTTTAATTTACATGTCAAAATAGAATGTTAAACGTATTTGTCCTAAATAACATGATTTTTAGAAAATATAACAATACTTGATGAAACTTAATAAATAATTTTTATTTGGTATTATAATTTTATCAAATTACAATGTTTTCTGGAAACAATTAAGAATTGATCAAAATAATTTAATTGTTTTTAGTCAGACGTGATCAAAATAATTTAATTGCTTTTAGTCATTCTTGCAAAGTATATTTATTTAATCACAGATTAAAATAAAGAAAGTATTGTTGAAATAATCAAAAGACAAACTTAAATTTTTTCTTTAATATTTTTGTAGTATGTATTTCCCAAACTTTGTATACAAATATTAAACAAAACGACAACTACCTTTCCCTGAGCACTGCAACCAATACCGTATTGCAGTTGGATCCACCACATTTCTTCATATTTTGTCAAATCTTCTTTGATCTGTTATTTTTTCGATTGGCTTCTCTTTAAAGACGAGATAAACAAATTGTCTAGATTTCCCCCGCCTGTGTCAATCGTAAAAATATAACAATTTATGTACATTTCTTATTTCTGTCCGCCAGCGCAATTTCGAGTAATTAAATGCCAAAATATATTTCAAAATTTACTAAGAACTGGGGACTATTTTGTTGTGCTTTTAATTTTAAAACCAGCCTTGCGTGAAACGATGTGGTCGTGCGATCTGTTTAAGCTTTTAAGATTTCTATATGTTTTTGTATTGTTGTGGTTAATTAGGAACGGCAATGCCATGATCCGATGATATGGTAATGGGACATAGCCAAAGCCCGGGGCATTCAGTTCGTTTCAAATCTGACACCCGTGATTGATGGGTTGACCACGGCAATTTTCTGGTCACTGATTTGGTAATTGGAGTGGCCTGCTTACGCTTATCGGGGCTCCACTGTAGCCTCGAACACGTGTGGGAGTTTTAGGCACTAACTCTGCAATTGCTTCTGTGCTTCTGTGCTCTACCCCTTTTATCACACTGCTCCTCCCACGTTTGGGGTTGCATACAAATTCAAAGCTTAAGTAAGTTTTATGGCTTTTTAAGTGACAAAGTTGCGGCAAACAATTGCAAACGTCTATATCGGTAAATGCCATCAGCAGACGTACGCAATTGAGGATGGCTGATCTAATTTAACAGTTGAAGAAAACAATATTACTATATACGATGTAAATGTTTAAAAACGTTTGCATTTAATTGACATCATGGTTTGTCATGAATTATCATTACTAAGCAGGTATGTTAATCAGAATGGAAATGACAGAGCCACATTAGAATACATCATATAAAGAATATCTTGCGCCTACAATATTCTTAAAACATTGACTGCTGTCAAACATTTATAGTAAATCTTTTTTTACATTACGACAAACATGTAAAGGCTACCCAAACGGCAATAGATAACTTTAAAATTACTTCAAAAAATGCCACATAATTTATTTACCTGTTTTTAAAGTCAATAAACAATCAAAAACAAAACCGAAAACATTACCTCATCAGTTCCATAAACACAAGATTTATACCCTTGTTATCTGGATGTTTTAAATTAATGACGAATGTCTTTGTGCGATGCGATTTTTCTTAATGACATTTTTCGTTATAAGCATATAATTAAATTTTATTGGAGCACATTTTTAGCCGCCTTTCGGTTCAATTCGGTTTGAGTTCAAGTTCATGAACCCGCCGTTCATACACGTTTCGAAAGCTACAGAAATATGTCGAATGACGAAAATCAACTTGAAATGCGTTGAAATGCATTCTACTTTGTTGGGTGTGCAAAAATATGTGTGAATTTTGTGTGTTTTGTTCCCGCCGCTTGTGCTAATTTGTTGAGCAAACTTTTACTTTATTGTTCGGATATTAAGGGAATTGGCACGGACACACTCATACGCTGCCAAATCGGTTATTAGCGCGCCATTGAGAATTCCACAATTGGAAATAGTGCGGCTGGGTATTGGGTTTCCAATTATAAAGCCAGCTTATCGACCACAAATTACTGCCCAAAATAATCGCAAAACAAACTTTAATCAGAGCCGATTAATTGTTTAGATTTTCTCAATCGGGCACCCAGAACATTGTTGTTCTACACCTTTTAACGATAGGGATTTTAATTAGCCTCGAAGAAGAGAATCAGCACCTGTGAATCTGAACTATGGAATGTTAGCTAGTAGTTGGCCAATTAAAATAACATTTCATGGAAACTAATTATAATGGTTGAATCAATTTTCACAATGGATGATTAACAGGCGATGACAAATATTTAAAGTCTCAGGTTTTTACACAGTTTTTAATCAATGGAGGCGTTTGTGTGGGATGGTTCCTGCTCTATTACAAGTTATTCCACTTATCCGTGGGGCCGAAGCCCAACCTTAAGTCAATTCAATTACTATCAGCTCATCCAGCACACTCCTCTGCACCGCAATTGAAGAATAGAACCCGCGTTTCCATATCAGAGCACTTGAGGCTGTTGGCTGATATCGATACGGGCCTCATAGATGACGCAAATAAAACACGAAATTCATTAAGACTGCATTAGAAAAATAAAGAAAAAAAGAGTGATGAATATTTTCCAAGCACACATAATGGGAATTAACATTGAACGGTCAACTGATTGATGGCTAAAACCAATTACAAATGGAATATGATAAAAGCTATATACATACATATGTAGTTATGTGTTTTTAAAGCTCCTTGTGTTTTGGTGTGGGGGGCATGGTCAACAAGTCATCGCCCATTTTTGGGCCTGTTCGTGACCGCATTGCGCCAAATAAGAACAGCAAAACAAACAGTCTCCACTGATTCCACTCTATAAAAACCAGGCCTAATCCCCTCGCGGCTTCAGCGTGCCAGCATTAACCCCCTGAGACCCCTTAACCCCTTTGGGTAAACACTCTCAATTGCCCATTCTCGAGTACTGTACACATCTGCCGGTGTTGCTCTCAAATATTTACCGCACTTTTATGACTCGTTGCCAATTAAACATTATACATTTTGTTTACTTTGATAAATTCTCACATGCAGCTGCAATTGCTGATAAGATGGATCCGTGGAATTGAGGGGAATAGTTCTCAAGAGGTGCCCTCAAATACCCAGTTTTGGAACAACCACAAATGACCTCGTTTAGCACAATTTCTTAGCAACTGAAAGTTAAAAACCTAGTTTTTAAGCCTTACAGTCAAAGTCAATTTTTCATTCAACAATTAGTAAATACTCGCCTTAAAGTTGTGTAAAAATCTGTTTACAAAAGACAAAAAAATGTATAATAATATTACCCTGACAATTATAAGGTTATTCAATATTTTTATACCCTTGCAGAGGGTATTATAATTTTGGTCAAAAGTGTGCAACGCAGTGAAGGAGACATCTCCGACCCTATAAAGTATATATATTCTTGATCAGGATCACCTCCTGAGTTGATATAGCCATGTCCGTCTGTCCGTCTGTCTGTTTCTACGCAAACTAGTCTCTCAGTTTTAAAGCTATCGGATTGAAACTTTGCACACACCCTTCTTTCCTTTGCACGCAGTATATAAGTCGGAACGGCCGGGATCGGCCGACTATATCCTATAGCTGCCATATAACTGATTGAAATGCCATAACTTTCGTGTTTGTAAAGTTAGGAAGTTGGGATTTTCTATGGGTTTTATATTTGGCCAATCAATCCGACCTACCAAATTTCATAAGGATCGGCCGACTATATCCTATAGCTGCCATATAACTGATTGATCGGAAATGCCATAACTTTGGTGTTTGTAAAGTTAGAAAGTTGGGATTTTCTATGGGTTTTATATTTAGCCAATCAATCCGACCTACCAAATTTCATAAGGATCGGCCGACTATATCCTATAGCTGCCATATAACTGATTGATCGGAAATGCCATAACTTTGGTGTTTGTAAAGTTAGAAAGTTGGGATTTTCTATGGGTTTTATATTTGGCCAATCAATCCGACCCACCAAATTTCATAAGGATCGGCCGACTATATCCTATAGCTGCCATATAACTGATTGATCGGAAATGCCATAACTTTGGTGTTTGTTAAGTTAGGAAGTTGGGATTTTCTATGGATTTTATTTTTGGCCAATCAATCCGACCTACCAAATTTCATAAGGATCGGCCGACTATATCCTATAGCTGCCATATAACTGAACGATTGGAAATGCCATAACTTTGTTGTTGTTAAAGTTAGGAAGTTCGGATTTTTTATGAGTATTAAGAATGCATCATATGAATAATTTTGGAGAATATAATTTACAGAGTATTCTGCAAGGGTATATCAACTTCGGCTCCGCCCGAAGTTAGCTTTCCTTTCTTGTTTAGCCTCTTTTTGAAATGACCCCCGTCTAAGCTGAATAGCTGTGAATATGTTAATTAAAACCCAGACAAAAGTGTCAACCAATTAGGAAGCAAGACAATTGCAGCGGAAATGCAGATAGCTAAACTGTCGCCAAAGGCCGAAACAATATAGCACCTTAAATGAGTGCGAAAAGTGGCCATAGTCGTTGGTTAACTACTCATGTCTGACAAATTGTCCACATCCATTTTTAAACACTGTTCCATTTACAATTCGGATTGATATTTGCATTACTTAGACTTAGCTTACTAATTTTTCCGTGTGTATTTTCAGTTCGCCAGTTTCAGTTGGAAAGCAAAGCGATAAAGATGGGAAAGTTCGAATACTCACTGGGTCTCAATGAGGTGAGTCAAGATCATAATAAGTTTGTAAGAAAAACTTCTTAAACACATGAATATGTATAAAGAATTTCTATTGATTTGTAAAATCTCTAAAAGACGGTTAAATATAAAGAACATACTATGATTTTCTAATATTGAAGATCGCATTAAACTTACAAATAACCAATTGCTGCCTCTTAGCACTCTGTTATTAGTAATATTTTATATATCCCAGCTCAAATCAAAGGAGCTGCGTTTGTGGCAGGCTCTGATCGGTGAGTTCCTGGGCAATCTGATCCTCAATTTCTTTGCCTGCGGTGCGTGCACTCAAATTGAGGATGGTACATTCAAGGCCCTGGCTTTTGGCCTGGCCATCTTCATGGCCATTACGGTGGGTTATTGTAACAATCATGAAAAATATTGTTCTTACTTGATAATCTTTCTCTTCAGATTGTGGGCCACTTGAGTGGTGGACATGTGAACCCTGCTGTTACCGCTGGAATGCTGATTGCAGGACGAATCAGCTTAATCCGGGCAATTTTCTATGTGGTTTTCCAGTGCCTGGGTGCCATCGCTGGAACTGCAGCTGTCAAGGTGGGAATTACTGAAATACAAAATATTTCGAACTAACTAAAATCACTAGCTAACTTCAAAAAACTTAAACATAATATGTTATCGACATATTTTTTAAAAATACTTCATAAAGTCTTATCATTGTTTATTTGTTTTCTTACAACATAAGCTTTCGTATTGAGTCATTTATTTCATGGAAGTAATGATTGTCCTACATCCGCTGGTTTAAAAAATTACTTACATTTCCACATATGCTTCCCTTTGTCGTAGTTACTAAGAACGTACTACAACGTAGCACATTTTAAAAAGTAACAAAAAATATATCAAATTTCAGAAAGCGAAGTTTATATACGCTTGCAGCTATTATTAAAATTTAACATTCTATATTTTGATTTCGATGCTTCAAAGTCGGAAATTTTCACTTCACTGCGATGAAAATTTTCACTGAAATTGTAATAGTCCCAGCAAGAGTATAATAAAGTTATACATTTTTAACTTAGCTTGTTATCAATGTATGAGCTCAAACATATCCTAAAATGATTCACAATCAAATGGTTTGAAATTGTTTGTTTGTTTAATAATTATCCAGAAAGATCAGTTATATATCTACAAAATACTTTGAATAGAAACACGGTACTACTTGGAATTAAACGCTCAATGAAATATATTTTATAATCAGGCTTAATAATTTGTATAACCCCTAGATCCTTCTTGATCTTTGGAATTGAACCCTCAATGAAATATATTTTATAATCAGACTTAATAATTTGTATAACTCCTAGATCCTTCTTGATCCTGACTATCACAATGGTTTGGGTCACACCACCTTGGCGCAGAATATCACGGAGCTGCAGGGCCTGGGAATCGAGTTCTTCCTGGGACTCCTGCTGGTCCTCGTCGTGTTTGGGGCCTGTGATCCCCACAAGCCGGACTCCCGCTACACGGCGCCCCTGGCCATTGGAATGGCGGTGACCTTGGGTCATTTGGGCACCATTCGGTACACTGGGGCCAGCATGAACCCGGCCCGCACAGTGGGCACTGCCTTTGCCACGGACATCTGGACTGCGCATTGGGTGTACTGGGTGGGACCTGTGCTGGGGGGCGTGGCAGCCGCCCTGCTGTACACTCAGGTCCTGGAGGCGAAGCCGGCACCGAAGGTGAACGAGGCATCCGAAAAGTACCGAACGCACGCCGATGAACGCGAGGTGAGAGTCAGGTTGATAAGCGCCTGGAGCGAGGAGTCCTTCTACTGATCAGTGATTACACCCACTCATTACACACACACATACACACACCTATCAAACACTCACACTCGCATTGTAAATACCCTAACTTACTCGATTTCAGGGATGCAAACCGAACCATTCTCTCATATAATAACTGAACATATATAATATGCCTAAATATATGCCTTCTTAAATGTATTATGTTTTTGTCGCTCTAGGAGCAGATATTTGTTTACTAAAGCTCTTACCACCTGCACGCAAAACTAATCTAAGCCACTGTTGTGAACCGAACCATTGGTTTAGAAATTCAGTGATCCTTTCAACCGAACCCGCCCACAATTTCGATCGGTTTGCATCCCTGTTTGATTTACTCAACTAATTATCTTACTATTATATTTACTTTAATTTACAGATGCGCAAACTGGAGGGTGCTCGCGATTATGCTTAGGATTAGGGAAACTAAAGCGACTCGAATCTAGAGATAGATACAGAGAGAGAAAAAGCCGAGGAGAACAGATGTCTTCGTTTAATCCATTCATTTCAATGTCTATCATACTTATGTCGTGCACTTCTTCGTTCGTGTGTATTTATGTATTTATTCATGAAAAGTTCATTTTTAATATAACTAATATCTAAATATGTAAGCTGCCCTAAAATCCAATCTACAAAGCAAAATTACTTGTATTCTCATGCGTTCACAATAAAGTGGAAAACATTTACTAAAAATTGTTGATGTGTAGTTATTTAAAAGGTGTTTGGTAATAGATTTCATTTGCAATAGTTTTAAAATACAGCTATAGACAATTTCAAAATTATAATAACCTTACAAGGAAATATTTATTAATACAAATTGGAAAATAGACAATGAACAGGGTTTAGTCATACTAAAAACCTATAAAAATACACCGATTTCAAAATTTTTAAAACATTTTTCAATTTTAAAACGAGCGCCATGAAAAGCATATGCTGTTAGCTTTTCCCAAACGCATTTTCCAACACTTCGTATGCGGAAAAGCTCCGCGCAGCATACGTCAAAAGCGTCATGCGCCAAAACTGTCATGAAGCGTTAAGGGAAAATCGGAAAATCCGCAGTCGTCTCCGTCGTTGTCAATGTCGTTGCGTGTGACCTGCTAAACAATTTACAAAATTAACGAATAAAAACAGCAACTAGCTGAAATTGCCCACAACTTATCTTCCAATAAATTGTTAAATTATTCGAATTAGTGAATTAAACAATTGGCAAGTGCACACAAATAATTGAAAAGCCAGTTGAAAATCAAGGACAATTAGATGCACTGAAGTGTTGTGAGCGAAATCAATAGAAAAACCGTGGAGGAAAAGTCGGAAATCGACGGAAAAGCGACCGCGACCACAGCGAGGGTCGAATGCAAATTGCACTGAAAATCTTAAAAAAAACTAAGACCCAGTTAAGCTGACCAATCGATTTGAGGACCGAGAAACATATTATGAAACAACGGCCCGGAAAAGTGTGAAAGGAAAGGAAAGGAAAGGAAAAGTGGAAAGTGGCTGGGAAAAGTGGAGAAGCTGCAGCGACGTGTAAACACAGGCACATAAAATCAATACTCGCGTGTGTCTGGGCCAACGAAAAAGTGGTAGCCAAACATGGACGAAAAGTCAATTTCAGTTAGCCAGTAACAAGGGAAAAAAGGCAAGTAATTACAGGGTTAAAAGGATCGGGAACAAAAAAAAACAAATCAAATCCTGGGCGTTCTTTATATTCTGGTGTGCTATTGACCTACTATACAATTAGCTCGTTAGTGCCATTAAAACTTGATGAATGGCCAATGAAATGTGATCGGCAGTCATAATCATGGCTAAAACGGCGGCATTGCAAACACTTGTTGAACGGGAGAGGCGGCCACTGAACCACATTCTGACCCACTTTCGTATGCAACGGTGGTGCGGGATAGTCGCGGTGTCTTGCAGCAGCGGAGAGTCTCCAATATTGGCCACTAAATTTAGTAGTGCCAAGCCAAAACCTTAACCTGAAAAGTTCGATTATGGGGTATTAAGGGGTATATTGGTAGAAACATCAAACGAATTACAGGCGATATGATAATGTGAACATTTTATTGTATTAAATACACATGAGGTATAGTCACTATTAGAAGCACATTTTAATTATGGGTATAACTTTTCTAAATCTTGTTTAATATTCACAAAGTTAAAATTAATAAAATTCTAAAGGTTTTAACAGTAGTTTCATTTTGTTTACTTTTGATTTTTACATTTTTATAGATTTCTAAATCATAACACAATAAACATATATGTATGTATATAAATGAGATAGAAATTGTAAAGTCCTTTCTTAAAATTTTGTATTCATAAAAGTTTAAGCCAAAGACTTATCAAGAGGATATCTCTAGTAATTAATTATTTTATTTTTTTATTTTTATTATTCAAATTTAAGTCAAATAAATAACAAGGGGTTATCTCTGTTTCATTCACATCCATTTATTTCTAGTCGCTTTAAGAATATTCTTAGCAGTGGCATACATATCAATATAAATAGTTTTGCCGCCGTTCCGTTCCCCTCGCTTTTTTGTCGCCCGCCCTCGCATTATTTTGACACTTTGCCAAAGTTCAATGCAAAAAATGCCACAATAAATTCAGCCAAACCAAACAAAAAATGTGTAAAATGCAGACGAGAGTGTGAAATCAAATGATGTGATACTTATGGTTAGCATTCGAACAGCCGGTCAATCACAGAGGACCGAAAAACCATTGACATCAGCAGCAGCCATGACTTGAACTCAACACCCCGAAAAACACGACCCACCCATTCTGCCCCACACACCAACAACACACACACACCGATTGACCTAGAACACTTATTAGAGGTTGTGCCACTCTATTTTTAGAGCCATGTTTTTGATCCTATAACCATCTATATATATACGCCACATATTTATACTGTCATATTGACGTACACATTTGAGGCTGTTCCATGGGAACTTAAAGTGTCGCCATAAATTTCTGCGCCACAAATCATTTCCACCAAAAACTCTTTGGTCAACCCTCGCCCATGTGCATCATTAACGAGCCATAAAAGTTGGGAAACCAAAGTCGCTGGTTATAGGGGCAAGTGTTAATTTTTGTGTTTTCATTTCTATTGCGGGAAATCTCTGGGGATTAAAAATAGGACATATTTTAAAGACAAAATTTGCTGTAATTTTAAAGAAGGAATTTAAGAACTGCAGAAATATTCTTAATAAATTACGTATACGTATAAAAAGTTACATAAATGTATTCCTAAACAAAAGTGAGTTGTAACTCAAAAATATTACACCACATTTGCGAAAAATATACTTTATGGGTGATTGCACAATTACAGACTAAAAACTACATTTTAAATTAGACTAAAATATAATAATTAATTTTACACAACTTTTTAGTGACGGTAGCATAATGCTTCGCTGCAGGATCAGGACCTGAGTGCAGAGTGCAGACAGCAGATAGAAAAAAGTCAAATATTTTAAGCCTACTAAAAGTAAGTTTCGTTTTTAATTTAATCCTTTCCTTCAATCAGTGAAAATCAAACCATTTCAGGTGGGTGGAGAGCCGGAAAAGCGACCAAGATGTGGACGCAGAGAAATGCAGTCGGCAATTGGCTGTTGGTCTTAACAGGTAATCCCTTCACTCATCCATCACCACACCCATCAAACAAACACTCAGATATAGCTTGGGAAATACTCATTAAATTAATAATGACCAAAGGTCAACACCATATCGTATTGAACGATAAACAGAAGCCCAACAATAAACAGAAGAGCCAGCATAAGTTCCCGCCTTTTTATGGACCATCAAGTTTTATTCCCACACAGATCAAAGAATGGTCTGGGAAATTTTTATATACATATTCGATTTCTTAGTAATAAAATAGACGCAGGGAAATGTTTTAGTAAAATTTAGAACTCAAGCTTTAAATACCCTACACGATCATGAACAATATTTTTGTATTATATTCAATTAATTACTTATTGATGCTTCAGACTTGTTATAAAAATGTTATTTTATAAAGGAAGGCTAAAAAGCGAACCGAATAAATTGAAATTATACATTCCATTCAAGTGCAAGCTGATCGATCGAAATGAAATTGTTTAGATAGGGCACTGAGATGATTGATTTTCATTTGCCTTTATAGCTGCTAAGCCATTCACAATTCAATTGAATTTGATTGAAAACATTTTTTACATTATTTTTATTTTTCATTTTTCATCGGTAACAAAAATAAAATATATAGTTTTTTTGGCATTGGCAAAATTCGCTACCACCGATAATTGTTTTCCAAGTAAGTTTCATTTTACGTATGATTTCCCCATTCGATTTGAACCAAATTCACCTTCAGTTTTTGTACTAATCTAAACAAAAAAAAAAGAAAATAATCCCCTGTAAAAACGTGAAAAAAATTGTTGCGTTCGATTTGAGTTTGGTTTGGTTTTCATTTTTGGTTTCGTTTCGTACGTGCCGTTGATTGTAAATGCCGTTATATATCGACTGTAAGCAGCTGTCTGTAACTCTATACATTCTATCTACCCATATATATTGCATATTCCTGGTCTCACATCCAACAACAACACGTATGCGTCTTGAGTTGCAGTGAAGTTCACACCAAAATGTAAACGTAATTTGTAAAAATTGTCTTTCCTCTGTGCCTTTTACAACACTATCACCTTGGTAATATTTTCGCGTAGGCGGTGGAAACGAATGGTATTTGGTACACTGTGTGCACAGAAAATCGAGAGTTTTAACGTAGTCCCCGACATTTCACCCAACACCTCTTTAATTTCTCCTCAAACTCCTCAAACAAGTCAGTTGGATAACTCAATGGCGGGTACAGTTGTGCTTGCTCATAAAGGAATATGGAATCGAAACGAGTTATGGGATCAACTGTACCTGAAACGGGGTTCAATCCACTGCCCACTTCCCAAACCAGCCTTGGTTTTGCATCTTTGGTTCGTGCTCCTTCTACTGCCCACTTCTACTTTGCTCTCTTCTCTTCCATTATTTATTTGCAGCCGTTATCGGATTTCTAACTTTCATATGGATTCCGCAGACCTCAGCCGAATGTCAAAGTATGAGTCCATTGCCTTTCCAAACCATTCCATTTGCTTAAACCTATCGATTACCTTTTTGCCAAAAACAAATTATAAGAGTCATGCATAAGTATATGTATAATCTATTTCTAACAAACTCGAATCGGTTTATTTCGAGTTCGCCATGAATACGGAATATTTTTGGATTATCAGTGTTACTTAAGATTTTTTTCGTTTTCATATTTAAAGCCCGATCGACCGAAAGATTGGAGTTATCTCGCTCGTTCCTAAAGCTTTGCCACCAATATCCATTCAGTTCTTTGGGTCATCCCCCTTTGACTCTTTTCTAACTTCACTTTGCTTTTGGTTGCACTTTTTTCTCTAGTTTGTTTTGCACCAAAGCAAGGCTTTTTTTTCATTTCAACTATCCTTTGAAAATCCTTTAAATCAGGTGTATATCTGTGGTAAAGTGCGTTTCGGAACTTTATAAAGTAAATAACGAAAGGGAATTTATTAATAAGTATTCAGTTTTTTTGTTCAGAATATATTTCTTTAAGAACTAAGTTCTGAAACCAACTATATCCGGAAACCGATATTTTATCCTAGTTATTTGTGTGTGTCTGTATGTGGTGTACAAGTATGTGAGTGCGAGTGCATGCTTTAAAAGGACACTCTCATCAAAGGCATCCCTAGTAAATCCTTTCACATAAATGTGTTTTATCTGTTTTGTTTATTTTTTTTTTGCAAATGTAGGATAGACACTTTTCGTAAAATAATTTATGAAACACTTGCCATTGAATAATTATAAATTACAACACACCCAATTTGAAAGAAACGCAACGAAACCACCTGTTGATTTTCAAACTGGTATCGATAAATGTTTTCTGCCTGCTGTTTGTTTGTGTTTGGCAACTCTTGCATGCTTTTGTACCTTGCACGTTTTGATGTTACTGTACCAAAGCTAACCTTAAATTAGTCCGAAGATCAGCAGAAAACGTGAGCAGTATTGAGAAGTTGATAATAACGCAATATCTTTTCATATAGCGCGATCGATTTACTGCTATGAGTGCGATTCCTGGACAGATGCCCGCTGCAAGGTTGGAAAAGAGTAATGGAGATAGTCTATTTAGATTAATATTTTATATTTTCCCAGGATCCCTTCAACTATACTGCCCTGCCAAGGGATCAACCACCCTTGATGACTTGCAACGGTTGCTGCGTGAAAATGGTGCGGCATCAGAGATCACGTGAGTAGACTTAGCAACACTGAAACAACTGTACGCCGAACTTTTTACGCGACTGTACCGATACATTCTTTATATCCTATTCGCGAATTGATTATCCTTTGTGCCCGTCTCTTTCTTCCTTCTCTTGCTCTCTCTCTCTTTCTAGCGTACGAGGTGGTGCGACGCATGTGTACGTCACAGTTACAGATCAATTTATTCATGGTCGATCACGTGTGCATGATGGAAAGTTCAGGCAATGGACATATGTGCTTTTGTGAGGAAGATATGTGCAATTCTAGTAAAGATTTACTCACTAACGGTTGCCAGCTGCATCTCATACCCATCGCAGTGGCAGTGTCATGGCTAATGGGTCAATTGCTCAGCAGATAGAAAGTGTTAGGCTCACCCACAGAAATCCACACACACACACTCAGAAATCAGAACATACAAAAAACACCCTACACGAACTCACTATCTATCTTCCTCTCTATCTAAGCGTATGATTTGTAGCTTGATTTGATTTCATTACGATAACAGTTACGATTGATTTCCTTTTGGAGCACAGTTTTCGAAGAAAGGACTTCGAGTAGTTTGATCAGCACCAATAGAAAGCTCGAGAATTCAATCCAGGAATGTGAATGCATACCAAAGCTTCCAAAGACAGAAGGCTTTCTCTGTTTCTCAATCACACACAGTAAACACACACTAAATCGAGCTTTGGATGCACAGAGTTCTTGAGATGCGAGTTCAGTCGAATCGCATAGAAATCGAATCGAATCCGAATCGATATTTGAATTGCATGTTGTTGATGCTAAAGCTGAAGCATGTAGCGCTTAAGTCGGAATCGTAGTGATTATTACATTTTGATTTCGTTGTTACTTACATTTGTAAATGCCCCGACCAGAGGGATAAAAAAAAACCAAAGCCAGTAATCGATTCAAACTTTAACACCCTACTAGACTTACTTTAAAACATTTGTCCAAAACATATGTAAACTTGGAATAACTAGACACCCCAGACACACTGTATATATTGCCAGCCCCAAAAAGATCATCACAAAAGTATTTGCAGTGACCAAGTGAAACATTTGCTCATCTTGTTTATTCCAAAGTCGGAAGAGAACTCCATATTGCATAAAACGTTATTTTGTTGTTAATACTCTGTATCCTAGATCGTAGCCATTAAGCTGTAATCTCGGTTCTTGCTTGGACCCTAAAACAAAAAACAAAAAAACCCACGCATCATATCACGTAACGAAGTAACAATGAGACCGAACTTTGGTAACCTATCGATCTTAGAGTAGTTAGCCTCATAGAACCTGCCACCAGCACCAAACTGTATAAAGTACCGATCACCCTGGTCCCTTTGGTTTATGTTCAACAAGTGATAATTAGATTGTAAGTAGATGATCCCCGATCCCAATTCCGATCCCGAGCCCCCAAGATCCGTAATACAACCCGTATCCCTCATTATGAAATTGAAATTAAATCAATTCTCATTCATGCTAGTGATAGTCTTAAAACGAATCGAATCGAATCGGAACTTATAGCTTACATAGCTTATGATTTACATTTTTGGAATTTTACGTAATATTATAAATTAATAGTTATGATTATCATCTCGACTAGAGTATTCAACTTGAAGTTTTGTATTCTAAGCGTAAACCTTTTCATTTGTATAATTGAAGATTGGCTAATAAACAACCATTTTTACCATACGTATATCTCTAGCTAAATTTACTCTCAACTTTTGCCTTTTAACTTTTAGCTTCAATTTGCTTTATCTACTTGCTACTCACTTAACCGACTTTTCAACATTCGTGCACTTTTGCCCACGCATTTGTACAATATTTACCCCTAGACTTGGCTTTAGTTAAAAAATGCTTAACAAAGATAACTAAAAGAAAACAATAGAATATCCATATCCGTCCAGCACAGGTAAGTCACAAGCAAAAAAAACTATAATCCAAAAAGTACAGTTGCGCACCGTTTTCTTAGTTCGCTCTTGCCTCGCTCGTAGATGAATGGGATATCGGATCTTAGCCGGCCTATCTTGGTGGTACACACAAACACTTTCACTCCAGCACCCTCCTAACCCAAATCCACCCCCAAACCCCCTTCCCCTCCACAAAACCCCCTACACTTAGCGAAAATCCCTAATGCAATGTTTACACCATTATTTTTTTAGTTCGATTTGTATAGTTTCTTGCTTTCCTGGTATGTTGGTTTGTTCAATAACAGATAAACTTATATATTTTAACCACAAATATCTAACCGATTTTGGTTTGTGAATGTTGACAATATTCTTATAACCAGTATTTGATTGATTGATTGACGGTTAATGCGTTTCAAACTTTAAACAAAAACAAACATTAATCGAAAACAGGCAATGAAGTTAAACAAAAAAAATAACACACACTGATTTTGTAGTGCAAAACTAACATATTTTAATTTAGTACTTTTTGTAGTTCCAACATCTATCTCAGCGCCAACATACTCTATATTTCTCTTTCTCTGTATCTCCTCTATATCTCTCTGTATATCTTTCTATCTGTTTGACTATCTATCACTCTCTCCTAACAACTCTGTTTGATCTTAAGACTCTTTTTACTAACTTTCTTCCAAAAACAGAAACCACATAGAACTCTTCCACTAGAGACACACCTGTAGCATATATTCAAAAAATAAAATTTAACAATAAAAGTACACGCAAATACACAAAAGACACTCACTGAATGTTAGCGAAATATATACAGAAAATACGATAAAGTTACAGAATTAGTGATGCACTTAGAGAAAACACTCAACCAACTCATGAATATACTAAAAACCAATGGTGAATTTTTACTACGTGTAGGCGCGTTTTTTTAAACAAATCAAAAAAATATTAAAACCGTTTAAGAGAGCCCGAAAATGATGGGCCTAAGCTTCACATCCATAGATTCCTCACAATACAAAAAGCACTAAATTAATATCAAAGATCTTACCAATATAGCGAAATGCTAAGTAAAATGAATATTGGTATTGGTTGATGAATATTGCAAAGAAAAGAGAAAAACCAAAGAGACACAAAAAGCCCAAAAACCAACTCTCTAGAAGAATTCAGCAGTCGCTTTTATGTTTTAATTTAAAATATTGGTTCGTTTTTTTTGATTATCCATCTTGAAAATAGCAGATAATTCCAATTTTTTTGATTGAGTTTAAACCTCAGCTCACCACGCTCACATCTAATAATTCCCTCCACTCACTCAATCTCTCACCTTTTCACCTCAACTCACCTTGTCAGTTGGCATCCACATATGTTCCACCAGTGGCGTACGCAGGAATATTTTAATAGTCGGGTTTTTAATTAAAAATGTATATTTTTTTGGAGTTTGTACTGTAATTTAGTACTGAAACTATTTTTTTGATTAAATTATGCTTTCAGTTATTTTGGGCAAACAAATTATAAAATTGCCAAAACAAATCAAACAACAAATTCTTGTACGCCACTGGGTTTCACCACCAACAAGGTTGCGCAGGTGCGATAGAGAGCTCCTTCTAACCCTCTCTCGCAGCTGTGCCACGCCCCTCCACCCACAACCACCCACGAAAATGGTGCTTTTTCACATACGACACCACTGTCTGACTATGTTTTTCATCATGTACGCCATCGCAATCCATGCACAGTGGTCGCAATGCCGCGACAGCCGTTCCACAAGTGCAAAAATATTATTTAATTGTTTTTTCTAAATTAAATATTGGCATTTGTGGGCGGCAGGCGCGCGTGCATTACCGAGCATCTGAAAACTTCGAGGGTAAAAATGAAAAATATGGCGCCGCCTGTCACCGGCGAATATTCCCCAAAAAAAAATCGCTATTGGCCACAGGCGGTCGCCGCCCCAACTGTAATTGTGAACGTCCGTGCGGCCATTCCCCAAAATATAAAAAATATATACCCCAAAAAACTGAGGATTGAAAAAGCAGCTGAAAAACCGTTGGAGGATCGGCGCGGGATCTTATCAAATCAAGCTTCTTCTGCTTGGGGCTTTAAAAACAAAGCTTTGAGGCTTACTTTTTACTAAGCAGGTGCTTCCAACTCGCTTTGCTGGACAAATAAAAAAAAACAAAATAATAACTACCATTCAAAACCGCTTGGCCAACTCAGCATACTCTCAGAAATCGTTAAAGAATATCGACAATATTTTAATTGTATTCCAAAAGTAAAGATGAAAAGTCAACGAGCACCTTTAAAACTAATCAAGACATTGTAATTAGCAAATAAACAAAGTTAAGCAAAACAGCGAGTACGAAAAGCCTTGTAAGAGATTATAATAAAACAAAAGCATTTAAACGAAATATTAAATTGAAATTATTTAGGCGTAAAAACGGAGCGGCTGAATTCGAAACGCAGATAGTTTTTCTATTTTTATGTATTTTTAAATAATCTAGCCAAATAAAATGCTAAAACACCAAAAATAAAAGAATGTTTTAATTAATGTTTTGAAAATGAAACCTCTTTGCTTACAGGCTATCTTTGTGCAAATAAAAATGCCACCATAACCTTTTTTTAGTAAATTTTGCCGCCAACGCGATGGTGAGCTCTTTACGATAGCTTGCACTAAATACCCTAACGCCTAGTCACTCCGAATTATTTGCCCACCACTAGCTGGCAGCTGGCGATTTGGGGCTGCGTAAATTAACAACAAAATAAATAAATGCAGCTGGTCGCCACTAATCCGAATGTATGCATTTACTCCCCCACAAAATTCCACAGATTTAGCCAAAAACCGCAATCAAAATGGGTGAATATTTCCCCCGGAGGCCTTGCCAAAATAATTTCGCCACTCTGGTGACGATTGCACGACTCCGACAACTCCGAAAATCTCATTCGTAATGGCCGCCCATAAGTAAAAACGTGTCCCGCTGCTGAAGAACAATTTCGTACGTTTGCGCTAGCTAAACTCCTTAAAATATAGCTGTAAACGCTGTGGCAGTGGTAAATACGCCGAAAATCACATCAATTGGTCATTTCGCAAGCAAAATACTTGCCAAAGAGTGTGAAAAATGTGCGTGAAAAAATCTAAATCGATTTTTTTGTTTGTGAAAAAAAAAGTCATTCAGCGTTGGGCTTAGTGCGCGAAGAGCTCGCCAGGGGGCGCTAAAATTACGTTCGGAGTGCCATCGGAGTGAGAGGCCGCGATTTACAAGCTGCCGACGGCGATATATCGATAACAAATGTTTGTTTAAAATGCAGTATTTAATCAGAAAAAAGATATTTTAGGGTGCCTATAAATTACGCAAGTCATTATTTAATTTTTGGAGAGCGCTAAATAAGGCTGCCAAGTGAAAATAAGAAAAATAAACGATTATTAAAAACGGCCGCTCATCGTTATCGCCGCCGACGCCGCAAATTAATCGCGGCCTTGCAGTCCGAGGCGTCGTCGGTTTTCGGCTCTCTGGCCGCCATTATTGCTTTCCAGCGAAACCACGCTATACGCAAAATCGGGTTTATATGTGTAAATTTTTCGAGCGATTTATCAACCAGATTGCGCTCGCTGCTGCTTGAAAAGTGCGGTAAAGTGTGTGAAAAATTAGTCCTGATCTTAAAAAATACACGCACTCGATGGTTGGCGACTATTTAACCAGATAAAAGCAAAAAACAAAACCCACATGAGGCGGAGTTTGCTTGGGTTTTTTTTTCTCAATTAACAGAGTTCTGTACAAACAAAATGTTAACTAACAGCGCACTGCAAAGTGAGAAATCTCTTGAAAAGGCAGTTCGAAATTCGCCGCGTTTGTTTGAGGTGTGTGTTTTTGCGCGCGTGTGTTTGTTTATGCCGCCTTTTTTCGTCTCGGCTTTCTATGATTTTGCATTTTTCGCAGTTTAATAACAGAAAAAATGCGCATTGAAAAAAAGCAAAGGCAATGATTCATAACGACTATGTTTTTGTGCGTGTTTTATTAATTTAAGGCAGAAAAGAGCAATGTATATATGTCGTGTGTGTAGTTGCTACATTTTTCCCGCGCGCGCGGCCCCACAAGTTTAAAAGTGTGCGTGTGTGTGTGAGTTGTTTACTTACTAGTTTTTGTTGTTGTTTTCGATTCTAGATTTTTATCAGCCAAAACGATAACACAAAAACCAAGGGGAAATAATAATAAATAATAACAAAAGGAAGAAGAACCAAATTTTGACTTTTGCCTAAAACGATGATGAACTGAAATGTGCAAATTTGATGAACGTAATTATGCCAATTCACACAGAACCTTCGATTTCAACGTGAAAAATGTCGTCGACACATTTGCTGCATTCGCTGTCACTGTTGTTGCTACCACTGCGTTGTCTACGTAATTGCCACCAGATCGTTTCCTTGGCCGTTATCCTGCTGTCGGCGCTGTCAGCTAGAGTTCCCAAGGATCAAGGACGACGACAGCCGGGGGAGGAGGCGGAGGAGCGGCAGGAGGAGCGACAGGAGGAGGAGCGGGCGGAGGAGGAGGACACGCCCTATATAGTCGCCAATCCACACCCAATCCCCACCAGCAGTGGCACTACGTCTTCGGCCAGGGGAACGGGCACAGGGGCTGCGTTAACCAGCTGGCAGAGCAGCCACAGCCACCGCAGCCCCGGTGCTCAGGATCGGGATCGGTATCAGGAGCAGGAGGAGCACCTGTTGGATCCCAAGAATCCGCAGTCCCATCTCCAACTCCAGCTAACAAAAACAGCCAGGGGAACGAGTAGAGGAGCGATCACAACGCTAATCCCGCAACGGAGTAGATCCTCCAGAATCCAGAGTAGCAGTAGCAGCCCGAATCCCACTGCCCACTGCTGTTGGACAGCCGGAGCAGCGCTAGCATCCATAGCCACCTAAGAAAACACTCAATACAGCCACAGCAACAGCAAATAGAAACGTTCCACACACCACCCTCAAATACCCAATACCCAAAACCCCCACACAAATCAAAAGCCAGCAAGATGTCCAAGCTGTCGTTCAGAGCCCGCCATTTGGATCCGTCCAAGCAGATGCCCATCTACTTGGCCGAGGAGCTGCCCGACCTGCCCGAGTACTCAGCCATCAACCGGGCGGTGCCGCAGATGCCCAGTGGCATGGAGAAGGAGGAGGAGTCGGTAAGTTAATATTGATCTGAGATTTCCATCAATAGAGACTAATTAAGGTTGTTATCCTTGCAGGAACACCATCTGCAGCGGGCTATATGCGCGGGGCTGATCATACCCACGCCCGAGGTCCTGCAGACGGACCAGCCCTTTTACGATGCCTACTATCCCCCGGACTACAAAATGCCCCGCCAAATGATCCACATGCAACGTAAGCAGACAGGACATCTTCCTTAAATCAAACTCAACTAATATTTCCTAACAAAAGTTTCAAAAAGTGAAAAAACAGTTTGAGTTAAATCTTAAAAAAATCCAATTAATAAAATTTCTTCTTCCTTAGCTCTTGGGCTGGACACCGAGGTTCCCGACTACGACATGGACAGTGCCGACGAGGACTGGCTCAGCCAGCAGCAGCGCTTGGAGCTCACCGAACTTAAGTTCGAGCAGATGATGGACCGGCTGGAAAAGAGCTCTGGCCAAACGGTGGTCACGCTGAACGAGGCCAAGTCACTGCTTAATCAGGACGACGAGACCAGCATATCCGTCTACGACTACTGGCTGAACAAGCGCCTCAAGATGGTACTAAAACCATAGCTTAATTGTCTGATCAAGCTTTTATTATAATTATTCTTTTATCGTTTTCTAGCAACACCCGCTGATCCTCACAGTGAAAACGGAGAGTCGACCCGGGGCCAGCTCCAATAATCCGTACTTGGCCTTTCGGCGGCGCACCGAGAAAATGCAAACCCGCAAGAATCGGAAGAACGATGAGGCCTCCTACGAGAAGATGCTCAAGCTGCGGTAAGAATTGAGTGAAGATTAAATCTAATGTCGGTTGAGAAATTTTGTCAATGCTGGCTAATCGTATTATACTACATTTACTGGAAACTTTGAAAGCAAAACATGTGATTTAAATTAAATTAATCATTTAAAGACATTGTATTGCAATCAATAGAACCTTTAGAAGTATCTTCAGTTGAGTCATTCGTTCGATGAACTATTGGAAAATATATTTTCTTTGGTTCTATTTTGTACCCATTTCTTTAGTCGTTGTTGAGTCATTTATTTGATGTCCGATTAGAATATATATTAAGTGGTTTTTGATTAGTAAAAAAGTCGTTTGATATTAAAGTCACAGATTGATTTCTAATGATTAAATTAAACAAGTTTGATTATTGGCTAAAGTAGCGCAGGACATATATAAATTAATGCTATACTAACTATACGTTTTATATTGAATGTTCAAAAATGTTTGTTCAAGGTGATTCTTGAAATTATCCTTTTACCCATTAATAAATTTTAATAGTTTCCATACCAGGTAGTTTGCGTTAGGCAGCTTATTTTATTGTCAGTTTTTCCTACCTGTGCAACTAATCCACCTTCTTCTTCCTGTACAACAGACGTGACCTGCGACGCGCAACCACTATACTGGAGATGGTGCGACGACGCGAGGAGACTAAGCGCGATCATCTAAAGATGACGGTGAACATCCTTGAGAAGCGCGTCGAGATGCGCGACTTCAACGGTGCTGTTTACTCGGAGCTGAATTCTCAGTACAAGAACACAAGGTGCGTTTCCAGATACTCTTCACCTATGCCGAAAGGTATTGAAATACTCCTTGTTTTTTTGCAGACCCGCGTATAATCCATTGTATACGAATCAATACTCACAAGGGGCGGCGGCGGTGGGAACGGCTGGTGCTATTCTTGCCGCCCTGCCCACGGGTCTGCTGCCGAGCGGTGTTGGAGCGGCGGGCAATGCGAATGTCTTCGGCTCAGCGTCGCAGTACCTGAATACGTCGAATCTGACAATGGGTAAGAGTGAGTTGATATCTTTTTTATTATTAGCATAGTAATCTTTTTAATTATTATAAAATTCAGAACATATTCAATAACACTCTTTTTTCGAAAGTTTTTAAGAATATTCGATTCGTTTCATTGAATATATTCTGAATTATATAAGAGTCACTTGATATTCTAAATAATATTATATTTTAATACTACTCATTGCCTAATTGGTAAATTGCTTTTGCATTGTTAATATCTAATTAAAATTTAAACCATTCAAAATGTACAATTTGATTTGAAACATTTATTTTTATTAAGGATATTAAGATTGTAACATTAAATTTTAACTCCCATTTTCCACCTCTCCCCCTTACAGATGCCATCACCAGTGGCAGTGGCAACGGGAGCAGCAGTCGCAAGGAGAAGCGTCCGTACAAGAAGCGCAAGCACAAACTGCCCCGCGACAAGCAGCAACACCAGCAGCAGCCACAACAGCAGCACCAACAGCAGCAGCAACAACAGTATTTGCCGGGACTGCCGGCGTCTGGAGCCACTGGAGTCTCGCCCGCGCACCACCTGCCCCACCACCTGCACCACCTCAGCAGGCAGCAGAGCGCCTCGCCGGCAGCCAACGACTCGATCGCGGACAGCGAGGAGGAGGACTACTTTGGCACCGGTGCCCAGAATGGCAACAAACTGGGCTCCGAGAGCGAGGAGGAGACGCCGTTTGCATTTAGGCGCAGGTCGAGCTGTATTTACCTGCCAGTAAGTATTAATTGGAAGCCAAAAGAGAACCAGATTCTAACTATTACTCCTTGCACAGACTCGTCCCCGAGATGGTCGCTGGCCTTGGGACTCTGCCGACGAGGAGATGGCGCCCAGCGGAGCCTGCTCGGATGCCAAATACCGTTACACACTGACCTCCATCAACTATCCCAGGTTTGTTGCCATTCTATTTGGCCCATGTCCATGCCCATACTCACTCCGAATCGGGCTAATCTTACAGGCCACGTTGCATCGGCTTCGCGCGTCGTCGTTTGGGTCGTGGCGGTCGCATCCTCCTTGACCGAGCCACAACGAATTTCGACGACTTCTGGTCGCAACTTGACTACACGGTGATGGAGAGCGTGGTGGCCGATAGATGTGGCGACAAACTCAAGCAGGAGCATCCCGAGCAGTTGTGCAAGCCCAGTTCGCCGCCCACGGTGGTGGATTTGATTCCCGCCGGAAAGCCCGTCGAAGGAGATCAGTCTGTTTCCGATCTGATAAAGGTGGAACCCCCCAGCGACGTGGAGAAACCTACAGCGGCGGTTATAGAATCCGGACAGGAAAGCAAAGAACCGGAGCTAGAATTGGAATATGAAATGGATGTGGAGGATGAATATCTGGCCACCGACGATGAGAATTTGTCTAGGCTTGGAATCTACAGCTCAGCAGTCACGTTGCCCCAACATTGTATGGATCTTCGCCAAAAACGTCGCCGCCTGCGTCGCAAAAAGCAGCAACTGCGAGAATTAAATGCAGCCAAGCGGCTGAAAAGATCTTCGGAAGCGGTAGCGACAGCTGGAGAGGTTCAGCTGGAGGAGGAGGACACCAAGCCAGCACTGGGTCCTTTGCCCAGGGCTTATCTCCAGCGTTTGGCCCTGGTTCTCGGCCAAAAACTCAAAAAGGAAGAGGATAAGGAAGTTTGCGAGAATCTGGCACCAGAGCTGCTGGAAAATAAGGATCAGGAGCAGTTGCAGCCCCCGCGAGCCAATCATCAGCAGCACCACCGTTCCAACAACAACAACAACAACACCGTGTTGAACAACAACAATAGTAGTAGTAGTAGTAACGTTATGAATAAGGATGTTAGCATTAGCGAAAAAATCAATGTGATAAAGCAGGAGGCGGAGGAGTGTATCGTCGGCGGAGGCGAGGATCAGCCGGTGGCCTCCACCTCGGCAGCCGCGGCCGCCGCTCGAGCTGCTGAAGCAGCCGCTGCAGCAGAGGCAGCCGCATCGACGGGCACGGTGGCGACAGAGAATCCGGGACCCTCGCTGGAGGAGGTGGCCAAAACGATAAAGCGAGAGATGATCGATGCCGACGACTCCAACGAACCGCTGAGCAGCATTCGCACAGCAGCCGTCCTGCAGTCCACGCAACCCGTTCCCGAACTCATGGACGATGAAGCGGAGGACGATGTCAATCTCGCCCAGCTAAGCAGCATCATTCGGCATACGGCTGTTAAGAAGGAGCTGGAGGCCCAGCAGCACCAGCAACAGGTGCAGCACGAACAGATGCAGGCCGCCAGGCGGATGGAGGAGGATGAAGCTGCTCCCTGTTTGAACCAGCTGCCTGATGTGATTCGCCTGCGAAATATACGCAACAGCCAACTGCACGCGAGGCCCAAGGACCTGTTTATACAAGCTCCTGTTGAGGAAGAGTTCAATGCGGACTACTTGGGCGGACTGTCGCCAACATCCAGTCAGCGGTTGGATATATGCCATGAGCTGCTTTCAGAGATCCGGCGCGATTGGCTACACTTCCGACCCAAAACTCCCACGGATGAGCTGTCCGATAGCGAGGACTGTGAGGTGGGTAAGCCTTTCGACATTCACGCGGTAGACTGGACCCAGGACACGCCAATAAGCGTAGAGTTAAACCGGTTGGGCAAGCGAGAAGCGGATGAAAATGAATCCAACTCATACTTCCTGAGCAGCGGCTTTAAATACACGGACCTCGAGTCAGATGCCCAGCTGTTGCAGACGGTTCAAGTTGAGGATTATGCCCGCGGCAGCAGCAAGAGTCCCAACTGTTCGGGATCCGGATCGGGATCTGCTCTGGAATTCAATTTGAGCGGCGGCGATTCGCTGAACGATATCAACAATCTGCTGGGCGATGACGACGAGGACGACAACCACGAACATATGCTGGACAACATCCTGCAGGAGTGCGCCATGGATGATCCGAAGGCCTTAAATCAAGCAACCAGTTTCTGGAACGGCATCCTGGATGGCGAGGCAGCGGTAGACGAAGTGGAGATTGCCGACCAACTGTTGGACTGTATAGACGAGAAGAAACCCAAGGTGGGTGCTACCGATTCATCAAAGCGCGCTGGCCGCAATCGAAAGACGAGATTAGCGCAAAGTCCGCTGGGCAGTTCCACGTTCACTGTGTGTCCCACAGCGGAGTCTCTCAAGGAGCGCGATAACTTCTTCAGCCAGGCACCGCCAGTGGTAGTCACACCCAAAGAGGAACCTCCCGCGGAAGTAGAGCAGCCGGAAGTGGTGGCCAAGGAGACAGCGCTATTACCTGTTAAGGTCGAGCCGGTGGAGAAACCACAGGCGGAGATCGTTCCTGTTGCCCCACAGACGCAACAGTTGCAGCAACAGGCCATCGCTTTGCCCACAACGCAGCTGATCAACATACCCGCCCAGATAACCACGCAGAAGCAGCCACAGGTGACACAGTTGCTCAATCAGTTCGCCAACGCCGGTCCGCAGATAATCGCACGCACGGAATACGGCGGTGGAGCAGCCGTGGGCGACATAGTGACCATCACTCCGCACACGGGAAGCAGTCCACTGCCCACACTCACCGCTCAGCAGCAGCTGCAGCACCAGTTGGCGCAGGCTCAACTGCGGAACGTGACCGTCCAGCAGCGACAGGCGACGCCTCAAACCCCCAATCAGAATCAGAATCCCCAGCAGCAGTTGCTCTTCCAGATGCAGCGGGATCCCTCGCGCTCCCTGACGCCACTGCAAGCTGCCGGCGCTGGCGCCACGGGCAACCACTTGATCTACACCACCAGCTGCGGCGAGATTGTCACAGCAGCAGCTGCGGCGGCGGCGACCTCCCAAAAAGTCACCTATGCCATCCAGAAAAAGGGAGTCACAAGTGGGGGAGCCACCACTACATCCATTGGACCCAACACGGTCATTACGCTGTCCAATGTGAAGGTGCAGAATGATGACAGCTCCTCCGGGGGCAGTGGCACTTCGGGATCCAGTGTGAACATCATCAACACTGTCAGTGGCCAGCAGCTGGCGGTGCACAGCATTGCTGGGATGCAGCAGCAGGTGCAACAGGTGACCACCAGTACGCCACTGCTTGTCGCCACACCCTCGCGCAACAATGTGCAGCAGCAACAGCAGCAGCTGATGCAGCAGCAACCACTTGTGTGGCGTCAGGTAAGCGGCACGAACACGGCGGTGGCCACCACAGCGGTGCTATCCACCACGGTGGACTCCTCGCCAAAGGCGGTAACCAATCAGATCGTCTTTACCAATCGGCCAACCCAGAAGAGGCAGCTCAACGGACCAGAGAATACAGGTAAGTGGAGCAGAGGAGAGCGTAGATTTTTCGTTTCTTTTGATTCAAGTTAATGTCCTTGGGTTTTAGTTTTTAATTTTCCTTTTTTTCTAAAAGCACTTGGATATAAATGTTTCTATCTTATCTATTTTATGCTTTCGTATAATAGCACAAGCTTCCTTTTGGGTTGTTAAGAATTTAAAATAAACAGATAAAACTGCTGAGGGTTATGAATTCAATGGGAGAGAAGATATTGTTCGCGTATATTAATAGTAAATGAATAGTTAAATGATCTTTTAAATAATATATATACAAATTATATCTATATAATTCATCAATATGACACTAAAAGCATATATTTAACAAATTTTTACAGACGTCAACAAACTCCTGCTCAATCGGAGATTCCTGCGCAAGCAGCAGCTGCACCAACAGCAGGTCCAACTGACCAAGCAGCAGATCCAACAATTGGTGCAGCACGAGGAACTGGACGAACTGGTGGCCACGACGACTGGCAACAGCGGCGATCAGATGGACACGGGCGATGCCCTGCAGCAGCAGCAACAACAACAACAGCAGCAGAAGCTCAGCAAGGTGATCAAGATGTCACAGTTACCGATGATCGTGCCGGATGTCAACCTGCAACAGCAACAGCCGTTGTCTGGTCAAGGCCAGCAGCAACAACTGAAGCCGAACTCGGCGGCAGCGATAGCGGCTAATCACAACTACAGCCTGCATCCCGCCTCAACGGCCATCATCACCGCCCAGGCGACACCCCAGCAGGCCAACAAGATCTTTGTGACCAGCAGCAACAGCAGTGGCGGCGGATCCGCTGGCAACTTCACCATCGCCTTGACCAGCGAACTGCAAGCGGCAGCGGCCAATCAGAAGCTTCAGTACAAGGAGCTTCCCAACTCAAATCTCAAGCTGAACTTTGTAAGCAGCGCCGGCTCCGGTGAACAAGCGCAGCAGGTGGGCGCCACCACAGTGCTGCTGAATAAATCCCAGCAGCAGCATCAGAAGCTGAAAACGCTGGCGACCACGGGAAATTCACAAACCGGCCAGGGAGACAAACGAGTGCTGTACACCAGTCTGCTGAATGTGAAGCCGCTGCAGAAGAACAACAGTGGTCAGATGCAGATGCAACTGGGTCCAGGCGGATTGCAGCAGGTGCTCCGAGGACGGCTCAACAATTCGGCAATCATAACTAGGACCCTGCCGCTGGGCACCACTGTAAATAGTACTGGTGGTGCCGTGGGACCCACCACCACCACTATTAGGCAGTTGGTTACGACGAATGCCAATAATGTGAACACCCAGGATGGCAGCCTGCTGAGTGCCAAGGAAGTAGGCAAGGCCCTGACTGTGGAGCAGGTGATTGCCAGTGCTAACAACGGGGGAGTGGTGCTGCCCACCAGCAACAACAATAATAACAACAATGGCAGTGGAGCGGGTGGAAATGGAGGAACTGTGAGCAGCGGTGTGAATGTCACGGGAGCTGGCGGAGGGGGAGCTGCTGGCACGGGAGCAGGGGGAGTGGGTGTGACGTCCACCATCAACAGATGAGACGCGGACGGAAGCGGCAGCAGCAGCTAACATCGAGCGCAACCCCCATTGCAACTGCCCAGCGGCACTTCGCTCAGTTTGGCAGCGACGCAAACGGAGGCGGAAACCCAGGCGGTGGCCATATCCCTGCCTCTGGCGGACGCCCAAGTGGCCTTGGGCCAGCTCCTGCAGCAGCCCCTCTGCTGTTGCACCCTCTGTTTGGTCAACAAAAGCGAGCTGGTCTGAAGCCAGCCAGTTAGTAGGATTTTCAGAATTTCATATGCATACACAAGACCCGCGCAGCACACACAGAAACCCTTCCAACTAGATGGTGTGAATACAGTAAGATTTCCCAGCAAGCAGCTATTCGGAATAGCGGCCAGCAGCAGGAAGACCTTTTAGCCAGAAAAGAAAGGGCCAAGAGAGAGAGAGAGCATGGGACGGGACGGATAAGTTGTATAAATGAAAGCCACCATTAACAAAGTTCGCTTAATTTGATTTTCTATAGCCTATATATAGAAGCATATGTGTGTATAACGATTTAGGTCTTATTTTTCAAGATCGCCTAACCCTAAAACCATGATTAGAATTAAATTAATAAAACAAATATATATATATATATGTACAATGTATATGGAAATGCATACCGAGAACTTGGCTCTTTCTCTTGGGCTAAAGATCCCACACAACCCAATCCCAGCTCCATCCTCCCCCTTCCTGTCCAATACCAACAACAACAACAGCAACAGCAAAAACTCAAGTGTTAAATAGCAAACTGTAAATATTCGATAATAATTGCAAAACACACACAATAACAGCAAGAATTAATGATTAATGAAACTATGTTTAGTGATACGAATAGTTGTAACGATGGAGAAGAGACCACTTCTCTCCGGCTTACGCCGTTTCAGAACCACGCGCTTTAGCCGGGCTGCACCACCGATGACCCACCGCCCCCCGCCCAGCACCACCCCCACAACCCAAAACACAATGTAGGGGCGTGGCAAGTCAGGGCAGCCCGTTGAAACAAAAACAAAAAGAAACAAAAACAAAAACACATTTTTCAATGTACGTAAATTAAATTAACTTATCCTGTAACTTAAACGAAAAGAAAACACACATTAAACTACATTTAGTTATTTTAACTAAGGAATGCAACTTCAGAGGCAACAGGTTGAGAGAGTTAATGGAAGTTGCAGAAGAACACTATTATTGTATGCTCTTATCATTATTATTTTTTATACAAGGTAATAATTTTAATTGTATTCGTAATTGCAAACAGAAAATAATGCTTATGCAATGGCGGCCACAGCTACACCGGCATAAACAACACAATAATAATAACGATATAATATAAACCCTAATAATAACGATAATATTTTAAAATCCAAAACAAAACCGAGTAAAACAAAACGAAAAAACAAAAACATTTAAACAATAATTATGTAGCGATGTAACTTCGTAGTATGTAAATTGTAGATCGGTAAGAGCGTAAGCAAGAGCGATAATAAAATGGAAAACAAATTGCAAACTTAAACCGAGCAAAACTCTGATTAAATCGAAATTCATTCATTAAAAATTGAAAGCGGTATCATAAATGTTCTTTTTCGTTTCCCATTTTCAGTTTCAGCACTCGATCCCCACATCAGATTCTTCATATCCACCTCCAACTGGAGGAGATTGCATGTTTGTATCTAGCATCTTGCATCTCGAACCTTGAATGTGTAGAATCGGATTATCTTACGACCTGATGGCCATAGTTTCAGTCTTCTTCGATCCTTCCCTTCTCCTCCATAAACCATATACCATATATACCAATTGTGATGCGTACAACTTTTATGATTTGACACTTCTGCAACAGCAAATACGGGTAAACACACGAACACGAAACTCTATCTAACCAGTCAACATCTAGCAGATTAATAAGCAGAATATATTTAAAGTAAATTATAGCTGTGTATATAAACATAATTACGATTAATGCCGACTGTCTGATATCCGAATAATCATTTTTATCTTTCCATTTTCCACGTTCGGATCATCGATTCAAATAAACTCAAAGGAGGCAGAAATTTAGTAAAAAATCCATGAAATCATAGCTTTGACTTTGTAAGAGTTTTTTAACTCATTTTTGTCTAGTACTTTACAATATCTGTATATAGTTATGATTAACAATAGTTATAATAAGCAGCCTTGCCCTGAATTTAGCTTGCCCTTAAATATTAATTCCATAACTAATTAATCCTTATAAATTATTTTACATTGATTGGCACACAATTTCTAGCTGATTTTTTTTATTTCCCGAATCTTTTGCAAGCAGCATTCAGTACAAGGCTGAATATTCATATTTTTTATATGTACTTAACAGTTTTTAACTTCTTCTTTTGCATGAAGTGTAAACACAAACAAAAACCAAGGGAAATTATACAGTATATTTAAAAAACAAATATTTATGTATTATATATAATCGATACAGCCATTTTGCGTATTCGTATTTGAACTTAACCAAAACTACATGTGAAATTGTTTACAGCGAATGCAGCAGACACATCTAGATGATTCAACCTGTTTGTAGAACTACCCATCCCATCCTTCCCCAATACATCCTATCACTCTATCAATAATGCTCTATAACTAACTAATATGTGAAATTTACCAATCGAGTATTAATAGCTTAATCTGCATGTAGCCCTCTGTATAGAACTTAAGCTACTAGGAATTCAAACAATTTTTTATATAGATTTTGGGTTTATTTTATTTTTAAATTTTGTAGGGATGATTTTAATATTTTGAAACAACATTTTATTTAAACAACATTTATGATTGGTTTCTTTGGTTTGTACATCAGTAGGATTTATTTTTTTTCCAAAAATTTTCGGGGACTTTAGGCCCATTGAATCGAATCCAATCCATATTGCAGTTGAGCTGATTCCCTTACCAAATATTGTATATGAATGTATTGTTAGTAAATCAAATAAGAAAACTGGAAACGCTTGTTGTGGTAATTAAGTAAACACATCCAAAACAAAAAAAATTAAAACGTATGTTTAATTAATAAATATTTAATCTACATAATTGAGACTACTTGCAATACTGTAAAAAATAAACCGAAGCACAAAAAACAAGACAAATGAATAATGAGAACATAAAATCAATATTATCGTAGAGATTGATGGATAATTGAATATACTTATGATTACAAAGAAAATAATAAACGGCATAAGCGATTTTAACTGTTTCTTGCATAAGCTATCAAGTACTAAAGAAAAAATAAGTATAACATTACACATATAGAAGCATGGAGCTGAAAACCCATTACAAAATATGTGTAATTACGAATCGGATATGGATTGCGGGTCATATCCCTCCCATTCAAGTGGCTGAGTTTCAAAGGTGTACATATAATAAACAGATATAAATAATAATATCAGCGGTGATGAAAAATTACGAATATTACGGAACACTAATTGAAAGCTGACAGAATCCAAAAAAGAAACCAAAATTAAATGCAAAACGACAGAGTGCATGATTACGACAGGAAATAAAAAATATAAAAATTAAAAACCAATTAGCGATTTTATTTTGGAGGACAATAATCATGGGATTTTTCAACTAAGGTCATGTAGGAATCGTCAAGATACGAGATCTGATTCTATTAGATACTCCACCTATTTACTTTAATCACACATTACAATTTCAAGCTCGTTACAATTTCGCGTTCAATTAACACTCCGATAGCAAAGTTCGTTTCGGCCCACAGACCTGTCAAATGGGTTTTTTTTTCGGCCAGGAGTGTGTTTACTTTGCGCCTCGTTAAAGCGCCAAAATCAATTAAGGCGGCTCGACGTTTGACAAAAAACGCGAGAAACCAACAAAAACCAAATCGAAAATCACACGAAAAGCAAAAAAACCGAAATTGAGTTTTGTAAATTGGCAACAGATGCGAATAAATGAATGCCAAACTGGCATTGGTCGAATGAAAAAGAGACGCCTTGCCCGAATGCAAAAGCTACAGTGAAGTGTCTGATATAATTTTGAATAATCTGCTATAAATTTTAAATATATTTCCTAATTTTATTCCATTGGAGAGGTAAGTTAGGGTCTATCAATAACTGGTGAATTGTTATTCAATTTAAGACAAAAAACACAGGTTTAGTTCATGAATCCGCGAGCTTTTATCCTAACAATATTTCATTAATTTAAAAAAAATTTATATGGTATACTTAAAAGGAGATCGAACAGGACTAACGGTGTACTTTTCCTATTAAATTATAATGACTGGTGTAATTTACATAATTCTCAACTAAAAATCAACTTTTTCTTCTCGTGAAATTAAAGTGACTTCATTTGGTATATTAAGCTTATTGACCTATAAAATTTGTACTAATTTGGTTTCTGAATTTGAGTTTATTAGTTGGTATTCACTGTAAGGCCAGCGTCCACTCTCCCTGTCCGTGTTTATATCTTTCTGTGAGTGCGAAAAGTGTTCGTTTTGGCATCGATTTCACATGCATTTGGTGCGTCGAAACTTGGACTCCGAATCTGCTGCCGCTGGAGGCTGGTGTTAAATATTTGAAAGCCATGCCGTTGCAGTTGTCACTCACTCCGGTTGCTGCCGTTGCTGCTGCGACGGAGATCTCGGAAAGGAGTCGGGCAACAGAAGCTCATTTTGCTGTCATGTCGAGGTGTCATGTTGCAATGTCCCAGCTGCCGTTCAAAACAACAAAAAAAAAACAAAAAAGAATCGACTCCAAACCCAAAAAACCAAAAAATCTGGCATGAAATTTGTTCAACGGTACGTTGACACTCGCCTATCAAGATGTGCATATCGCCTGACCTTTATTAGCATACGAGTGTGTGTGCTCTTGCCACATTAAAGATGCAATTAAGGCGGTGCAACCACCCCTCCCTCTGCTCACCCTTTTACTTTCCTCTGTGGGTCAGATCTGCAGGGAGAATGTAACTTTGTTTCTTTCCTAATTTGATTGCCTGGCTTAGATTTCTGGGCGACTCTAGCTGAGATCGTGACCAGGACAGCCAGTTGCCGCACCTCCAGTCTCCGCCATTGTCGAATCTCAGCCCCCAATTCTCCTGCCCGCTTTTCTCCGTTCTCCAGTCTTCGCGCTTGTCGTTT